AATATTAATAAGATATTTTTTTACTAAAATTTTTCTTAAATTCTACTCTACAAAATAGCTATCTTAGATTTTTTTTTTACATTTTATTTAAAATTTAAAAATAATTAATATTTTTAATAAAATGTAAAAAAATTAATTATTGAGATATAGCTATAGACCTAACGTATAACTATTATTTAAAAAAAAATCAACTAAAAATATTAACTGGATCAAAAGTTATTTAAGTTGTCAGTGAGTGGTGGGCCACTCTGTATAGTCTATATAATTACTTACAAAAAACAATTCAAGACTTTAAATAATATGATTTAATTACACAAAGTCTACAACAGTCTTATTTATGAATGATTCCAAACACTCTGTATTTTATTATAAATACAATTTTAATTTTTTTTACTTATTGATTTTTTTTACGTTTGTTGAATAAGTATTTTTTTAGAGAGTATATTTTATTGAGAGATCGACACCAATATTTCTTAAATTTTCCTCTGGCCTGGCCAAAACAAGATTCAGAAATATCTATATCTATGTAAAAAATTTAGCAAGGCGGAATTGTGGTGGCCCAATATGTCCCGGTCCTAAAATAAAGCACCTTGAAAGGATGCGGCACAATAATCACCGAGACAAAAATTAAACACTGCAAATATATTCGTAAGTTTCTCTGCGTTGTCTGCCGGCGCGATGTTTATTAAAACAAAGACATTAGCAACGAGACTAGCTACCCAATACGCATAGGCTTACAAATATATTCTAACCTAATATACCTAATTCTAGAACAATATTTAGTTGCAACCTTTACTCTGTCTGCCGGCGCGATGTTTGTTAAAACAAAGACATTAGCAACGAGACTAGCTACCCAATAAAAAAAGCTCACAATAAATTTTTATTATCAAATAAAAATCTAAAGTTAGGTTGGATTTATTATTAAAATAAAATAATTTTAAAAAAGATGTAATATTTAAAATATTATTTGATATTTATTTCCACAACAAGAAAAATAAAATATTATTAATGATTGAACAAATTAAATTAAATTAAAAGATTCACCAAAACAAAATTCACTTTAAAATTTCTAAGTGTCATTTAGTTTTAAAGAAAAATATTCTAAGTNTATCATTTAGCTTTAAAGAAAAATATTCTAAGTCCAAATTAATTAAAAAATTGACTAAGTCCCGGAGAGTGAAATCTTGAGTAGAGTGTCGTAGATTTTGTGTATTTTAAAATCGTCAAAAGAACTGGTTTAGATGGGGAAAAATGGCTTTTTATAGTGTGAAGGGGGTAGCCCAGCGATCTCTACCGTGATCNCTGAAGGGGGTAGCCCAGTAATCTCTACCGTTATCCTGGAAGCTGAGGCTTTGTATTTTAATTGGTTAATTAAAATGGGTTCCTTGCGTGTAGGCGTTACTTAATGATTCTACAAGAGGGAGATTTTATCGTATAATTAAAGGGTTATTTTGTATCTTAAATAAGAGAACCCTGTTTTGATGATTTTGTATAATCATGATATGTGACATACATGTACAAATGATAACATCATATTATATGTTAATATTATATGTAATAATATAAAACCCAGCACAGTGGGGTGGTGCCACAGTGGGGTCGTGGCATAGTTGGGTCCAGTATAGATGATATCTGACAGTGATTAAAATCACTATCATAAAAAACGCTTCGATGCAAATATGTAGATAGTGTTTAATTAAAAAAAAAAAAATTTGTTAAAATAGCATATTTTTGAATATGGTAGCCATTTGCGCATAGAAGATAGGTCTTCGGGACAAATTTTTTTTTTCCATTTTATAGTACATAAAATAAGCTTTAATTTGATATATGTTTAAAGGACGCAGTATTTCCGGAACATTTTCAAAAATTAAGTTGAAAAAGTTATTTTTTGTAAAAAAGTTACTATTTTAAATCCTCCCAGTGAGCAGAATAAGTGTTAGATTTTCAAAAAAAATTATATCAAATGAAAGGGAAATATCTAAGGTTTCAATACAAAAAAATATTATTTTTATTTGTTCATTTTTGAAAAAGTTATGGCAGTTTTAAGTACAAAAAACATCCCGATAAAATGTAATTTTTATCGCAAACATTACATTTTTTTTTATATTTTCGACAGCCATTTGCACATAGAAGATAAGATGTCGAGACAAATTTTTTTTTTTAATTTGATTGTATATAACATAACCTTTGATTTGATATATGTTTAAAGGACACAGTATTTCCGGAACATTTTCAAAAGTTCAGTTGAAAAAGATCTATGTTTTTTACAATATTTTAAGTTTTGGANCATGTTTTTTACAATATTTCAAATTTTGAACGCCCCCTATATAAGGGGAAATTGTCCAATTTTAATAAAAAGTATGTCAAATAAAAGATGTTCTTATAATGTATTTAGAAAAAAAAAATTTGTGCTGATATATACATTTTTCAAAAAGTTATAGCATTTTTAAGTTGAAAATTTAAAATCGAAAATCGAAAATTTTAACACAAAAATAGTGTTTTTTTAACTACGGCAGCCGTTTAAATGTAGAAAAAAAAGTGTCGGGACAAATTTTTTTTTTTCATTTTGTAGTACATAAAATAAGCTTTAATTTGATATATGTTTAAAGGACGCAGTATTTCCGGAACATTTTCAAAAATTAAGTTGAAAAAGTTATTTTTTGTAAAAAAGTTACTATTTTAAATCCTCCCAGTGAGCAGAATAAGTGTTAGATTTTCAAAAAAAATTATATCAAATGAAAGGGAAATATCTAAGGTTTCAATACAAAAAAATATTATTTTTATTTGTTCATTTTTGAAAAAGTTATGGCAGTTTTAAGTACAAAAAACATCCCGATAAAATGTAATTTTTATCGCAAACATTACATTTTTTTTAGAATTTTCGACAGCCATTTGCACATAGAAGATAAGATGTCGGGACAAATTTTTTTTTTTCATTTGATAGTATATAACATAACCTTTGATTTGATATATGTTTAAAGGACGCAGTATTTCCGGAACATTTTCAAAAGTTCAGTTGAAAAAGATCTATGTTTTTTACAATATTTTAAGTTTTGAACGCCCCCTATATAAGGGGAAATTGTCCAATTTTAATAAAAAGTATGTCAAATGAAAGATGTACTTATAATGTATTTAGAAAAAAAAAATTTGTGCTGATAATTACATTTTTCGAAAAGTTATAGCACTTTTAAGTTGAAAATTTAAAATCGAAAATCGAAAATTTTAACACAAAAATAGCGTTTTTTTAACTACGGCAGCCGTTTACATGCAGAAGATAAAATTTTTTTTTTCCATTTTATAGTACATAAAATAAGCTTTAATTTAATATATGTTTAAAGGACGCAGTATTTCCGGAACATTTTCAAAAATTAAGTTGAAAAAGTTAGTTTTTGCAAAAAAGTTGCTATTTTAAATCCCCCCCCCATGAGCAGGTTAAGTGTTAGATTTTCAACAAAATGATATCAAACGAAAGGGAAATATCTAAGGTTTTAGTATAAAAAAAAATTATGTTGATATGTTGATTTTTGAAAAAGGTATGGAAGTTTTAAGAAAAAAAAAGTGAAAAAATGACAAAATAACTGAATTATAAATTTGTAATCTTTTTGGATATTTCCCCCATTTTCGGAGAACGAGGGAATTTTTTTCAATTTTTAAGGGTAATGTGTCCAACTAGATACGATTTGTGATCTTTTGACGTATTGTTGAAAGAAATCGGTCCAGTGAGAGCTGAGAAAAAGTGGCAACAGACATAAAAAAAAAAAAAAACACATCATAGTAAAATTAATACCTTCTCCGCTTCGCATCGAAGCTAAAATTTTGATTTCTTTTAGTTACATATATTTTTTGATATATCAGCTAATAATGACTTTAAGAATTTTTCGTTATAACCTAAAGAGGTGCTCAACTTTATATTTTCAAATTGCAACATACTAGCTTATAAAATAGAAAATTTCATTAAGAAAATTACTATTCAATAACAACTTTTGGATCAGTACTTCGAATGTTATTAACAATTTTATTTAATTAAAAATTTCTATTCATAAGTTCTAAAATTAAGACTAAAAATGTTATATATATAAATATAAATATAATTTTTAATTTTTATTTTAATACATTTATATTTTGTATTATCTAGCGATATCAGATATAACTTTTAAGATCATAAAATGTTTTTTTAAAAATTTATTCCGGTCTTGGTATAAAAATGAGAATAAATTCTATATTTTTGTATTTATTTTGCGAGTAATGGAGTGGTTTATGATAAATCGATCACTATGTATATTTGATAGAACAAAAGACATGTAATTTATAAAATGTTTATTTATATAATTATATAAAATAATTTAAAAATATATATATTAATTTATAAAATAATTTATGTGGTTTAATGAAAATTTGAATACTAATTTCAATAAACATTTTTCAACTGTCATAATATACGCGTTAGGTAACAGTTGCTGTTTTTATACTATAAATATAAAAATTTTCTACACTTATTTTAGTTAATATGTTTTATTTGGATTGGTTTACTTTGGTTTTTAGATCGATTATATCTTATACATATTCTGAATCATTATTATATGAGAGTTTTTTTCTTTTGTATAAAATACGATCTTGTTAAAAGTTTTAAACGATTATGATGTTTTATAATAATGGCTACACTGGTTATATAGACAGTGGTCTGTGAATATTAGACCATAATAATTTATTTAATTAAAAAACTTTTATTCATAAGCTCTAAAATGAAGACTAAAAATTTTATATAAATAAATATATGAATACAATTCATAATTTTTATTTTAATACATTTATATTTTGTAATATCTAGCGATATCATATATAACTTTTTAAGATCATAAAAAGTTTTTTAAAAAATTCATTGACGATAAGAATTTGTAGATAAAAGGATCTTAATTTAAATAAGTCCTATGTTTTAGAAACTACAAACAAACTAACTTTTTTATTTCTCTCTTGAATTTTTATTACATTTTTAATTTAATGTCTCAAAATTTAGGTTTTCATGATCAGATCACAATACTTCAACAGTTGTTAGCTGACATAAGCTTTCAAAGATCTAAAGAAATTCGACAGTTGGTTATTGATGGTATGATAATATTTAACGACGACCAAACATTAATATACTTGATTTTGTACTTAAATTGAAAACTTCGGCTGTTTCGGCTGGAAAACTGTTGTAATTTTATTAAAATATGTCAATAAAGCTGTTTCTAACATACAGCTTTCTTAATATTATAATCATTGTTTTTTTAATTTCGTGTAAAATCAATATTGAAAATATCAACTTAATACAAACGAAAATTATTATTTCTGTTCCATGAAAGATATTAGTTTTAAAATATTAAGATAATAACATTAAATTATAAATCTTATTCCCTAAGTAATTTTATTTCTATAATTTGGATTTGTAAGTTTGTAAGTTTAATTGGTACTAAGTATAGTCAATTTTTTCATTGGCATTGTTAAAACATCAGATTGAGTTTTTGATTATTGTACATAAGGCTCATAGAAAGCAAGGGACACATATAACAAATTTATCATTAAATTAAATCATGTGTCAAAGTTTTTGTTTCCAAAAAAAATTTTTTTCCATTCTTTCTATGAAGTATATTTATTAATTATCCGTATGACTGCACTTCGTTCAATTTTAAGTATCACTTATACCTCATACTCAGTATTCATTATTTTTTTGTTGTAATACATATTTTCTGTAAGAATAATGAAACTAATTTAACTAAAGTATATTAAGTAATTTATTTTCAATTAAACATAATTTATAATTATTGTAATAAAGCCTTTGTAAATAAAACACAGTATCTATCAAGTGTTCAATTAAAAAAATTCATGTATTTTTATGATTTATCAATTTATTTTTGTTAGACAAATATATCATAATTTAAGAATTTGATTTAGGATGTGAGTTTGTTCAAAACCATGGATCAGCATTTTGGACAGATTTATTTGTTCGTTACTTTTTATTTCAAACTGAACATGTGATTGATGCTGATGATTTGCTATTTTTTATCAGGAAAAAAAGAATAAAAAGCAGCTTAAAATATTTACCAGCATTTGAAGTAAGATAAACTATTGTTTTGTGATCCTAGTAGCTGAGGTTAGCTTTTAATAAAAAAATATTTTCATAATCCTAACCGTTATTCTTAAGATTATAATTTCTGAGAACTAACTTTTATACAATTGCTTATTAGCTTCGATGTGAAGCTGAGAAGGTATTTATTTTACTATGATGTTTTTTTTTATTTTATTTTTTATTAATTTTTTATTTTTTGTGTCTGTTACCACTTTTTCTCAGCTCTCACCACACCAATTTCTTTCAATGATATGTCAAAAGATCACAAATTGTGTCTAGATGAAGACATTACCCTCAAAAATTTTAAAAATTTCCTTTGTTCCCCGTACATGGGGAAACCTCCAAAAAATTTAAAAATCGCTAATATTTGAAATGATGCATGATGTCTTTATCTATCATTTGGTTTATTTTTTTATAAATCTGACCCTTTACCAGCCCACAGGGGGATTTAAAATGACAACTTTTTCAACTTAACTTTTGAAATTGTTTCGGATAGTCTAACACTTTTATATATATCTTAAAAAAAAGCTTATGTAATATACTTTATTATAAAAAAAAAAATTTCGCACTTTATTTTGTCTTCACAATGAAAATGTCTACCAAATGCTATTTTGTGTGAAAATTCTCGATTTTATATTTTTAACTTTTAATTTTATAATGCTATAACTTATTGAAAAGTGTATGGATCAACACAATTTTTTCATCAAAAATAATATTTATATCCCCTTTTCATTCAACATACTTTATCTTAATCAAGATATTAATAAGGAAATAGCAGATCATGTAGCTTTTGAAATAATCCACCAATTTTTTAAAATTAAACACTATTTAAAGATTTGCAACGAAGCGTTTTTTTTTTTATAGTGATTTTAATCACTGTCAGATATCATTATACTTGATCCAACTATACTACGTCATCACTGTGCCGTGATCCCCCTGTGCTGGGTTTTTTTATTTGTTAATTAGCTTTTATTTAGTTTTATTAATTTATAATAGAATAAAACAAAACCTAGAGTATAGTTTAATAATAATTTTTACTGTTTGTTAGTTTTATTAAGAAATATAATATCAATGTATACCTTGCTAATATTTGAGCTTATCTTTTTATATAATTTCTGAGTGATAGTATATTTGGTTGCAACTATTTTAGAAAAAACATGAGAACTTATTTAATTAATATTCTTATATTTGTGTTTTTTAAATTGTTTTTTCTCAGTTTTTAGATATTTTATAAATAAATATACTTACAGACTGAAATGGATGTATTTCGAAAAGATAGTAAGAGACTTCCAGTTGGTGATCCAGATATTATTTGGGAAGAAACTGTGTATTTAAATCTTATTATTCATGAATTTGATTATACTTTAACCCTTGCTATTTGTACAAGAACAAGTCCAAAAGAACTGCAAGTTTTACATAGACATTCTCAAGTATGGACAAATTATAACAAAATTAAATTAAAAAAAAATAAGTTTACTTAATATTTAAACTACTTTAATCTTGTTTAGTAAAATTTAAACATCTATTACTTATTTTTTATATAATGGAATAATCTCTGAAGCAAAATTTCTTCCAGTGGCATCATTTGGGGGAAGGCAACTTGTGTATTTGCTCTAGTCTAAAATTTCAGTATAAATCAAGGCTAGTCAACCTATACTCATACTGGGCTGAGTCACGTAGGATAGTTTAAATAATATTTGTAAATCAGTAAAAATCTAAACTGTAGTCAAAATAAAATTTCATTTGATAAGACAAATATTTTTTTCTTAATAAATTTTGATAAATTGAACAATTTTGAAAACACTGGGTTATAAAGCAATCATAGGTAGTCCAATATTTTGTTATCAATTATCACTTCATTTTAAATTTAAAGTTTTTATATGTACAATTATTTAAGTTATTCTAAAACAACAATGTTAAAAAATACATATTATGTTTATCAAAACTGTAAAGAAAAAAGAAAAATCTAATAGTCATTCATTGAAAATGTTTTTCTTTTTATATAAAATTAGTTTAGTGGTTTAATTATGAGAGATAAATCTTAAGTGAAGCAATTAGCTTTGTAAAATGAAGGACCGGTCAAAAGTTTCTGCTAGTCTAACATAATCTGAAATTACACCCCTAAATTCAAGAAATTGGGAGTGTCATTTTAAAAAATAAATAAATTATATACATATAGAAAATATGTTCAATGATTTTGAATCATCCATTGTTAAGTTTATTTAAGCAATCATATGATTTATAAAAATATTAATTAATCTAAAATTGAATTCTATAGTCCATAATCAAAAATGACATGTCACAAATATAGGTGATTAAGATTTGTTGTAATTTGTATAGAGTAAGATATTATATGTTATGTGCCAAAAAAGTTATTTTTTTTTTTTTTGGAAAGCTTTGTTTTTTGTACTTTTAAAGTAAAAATTTCCATTAGGCTTCATTGAAATTTTTAATTTGTTATCCTAAAAAATTACTAAAAATAACATTTTTTTTTTTGGAAAATAGCTAAACATGTAAAATTTTGTATATTTGTGTATTCTAAGTTCCAAATTATTTGAATATAATATTATAGAATTATGATTGATTTTTTAGAAAGTTTACGCATCTCCAAGTAAACGTAGAATGGACACTAAAGGAGATTTGGAAGAAATCACTTATCCTTATGTATGTTTCATGGTTGACAACTTTAATGAGGTAATAAATTTAAGAATACATCATTGATACGATCATGTGCCCATATCTCTGTCTCCCATAACATCGTTGTACCGTTTAATAGACATATATATATATATATATATATAATTAACACAGTGACATACAACAATACTAACAGGAGGGCGGACTGCACACATAAACACTTTTTGCAATTCACGGCCAATGTGCCACAATAAGATATCCCTATCGACAGTTGACCTTTTACCATCTTCGCGATCACTACTTTGTCTGCTAATTAACTTAACTTTGCTACTCCGTATATTATAGTGTGTGTGTGTGTCGCCGTCAGCTCCCTGTTGGATTAATCATCTCTAGGTGTCCAGCAGGTTGTATTATCTATTTAATATTTCAATTGCTTAATAAATATTTATTTATATCGTTGTTAACCTAAAGTGTTATATATATATATTGTAGTGCGACCCTTGGTAGTTCCTCTAAGGGAATATAAATTAAATAGGAAACTTCAGTACCTAAGGTAGATATAGCCTAGCCAGCTATCCCCCGTTGGTCCCTTAGAATACTGTCGACGGGCATTTAGGCTAAACCCCTAAATAGCGACGTATCAATCATTAAATGTATTTTTAACTCTTAAATCCCACTATGTACATTTATGTTTTCAAACATTTTACAACATCTTATATTGATAAGTAATACTATAATAATTAATGAAACTTTTAATAATTTAGTAAAAATTATTAACTTTACATTTACTAAAAACTAGTTTTAACAGAAAAATATTTATTTAGTAAATATTTAATAACAAAAAAATAACTTCAAATAATTCTATTGAAAATAAAAGTTAATGAAAAATATAGCATAAAACTTTATTAAAATACAACAATTTTATAGAATTGTAAAAAGCAATAGTAAATGTAAAATATGTAAAGATATATTCATGTATTCATGTCATAAATATTTATGTAATCATTTTAAATAGTACAACAATCTATGAAAGTATTAATACATTAATAAATTTTATAAATTATTAAAAATTAATAATTTGTATATTGATTAACTATTTCTCACACTTAATTAAAAAAAAATAGGATTACCAAGGATATTAATAGATTTAAGTAGTAGTCTATAATGAACTTTATGTTTATGTTATTAGCTTCGATGTGAAACTGAGAAGGTATTTATTTTACTATGATGTTCTTTTTTTATTAATTTTTTATTTTTTGTGTCTATTACCACTTTTTCTCAGCTCTCACCGAACCAATTTTTTTCAATAATACGTCAAAAGATCACAAATCAACTTAATATTTTCAAATGGTAGCCCTATTTTGTTTTACTTCATTAGATTTAGTTTAATAAAAAAAAAAATATTTTATTTTATTTAATATTAAGCACTTCATGAGTCTCTAAAGTTAAGGGTTTATTAAGAAAAAAGTATAACAGAACTGAACATTATAGGATGTAAATCAATAAGCATTAACAGTTTTATAAATAAACATACCAAGCTTACCTTAGTTATTCTGATTACTTGTGTTGACACACTAAACCGGTAGCTCTTATCACTATATAAAATAATAAAGTGACCGTGTCAGAAAAACTACTGAATTTTTTCATAAAACATCGAAAATTTAAAAATAGCATATTTTGTTTAAAATTCATAATTTTTTATTTTTTGCTAAACATTTTTTTCTATTGATAATAAATCACCCTAATTATTGTATTTTAATACAATTTTTACCTATAACTTTTTATAAAATTAGTGTAAATATCGAATTAAAAAAAAGCAATATCACATATATCTGCCTATATTTAATATTTAATTACATATTGGCAAAACCCTAAAAATGTTCAATTGTCAAATATCATTTAATCACTTCACTCGTTAAAACATGCTGAAGTAATTTTAATAGGTTCATTTATATAAAATTATAAAATGTATTGCAATGTTTTAGGTTTTTTGTGATATTTTGGTCAGAGATGGTGAAATGGTATGTGTTGAACTTGTTGCCTCTGATAGAAGTGGAAAAATGCGAAATGTTATTTTTATAGGATCTATAAGATATGAAGCTCTTAAAACAGTCTATAATAGCAGAGTAATATATTTATCATTTATAAGTAATAATTATTTAGACCTCTTTGTAGTATTTTAAATTGCCCTTTTTTTTTTTATATTAACTTTATTTATATACACACGTTTAGTGAAAAATTCCTGATATTGTTTCATACAATATTTATTAATATGTAACATGGATAATCAGAATTTAATGAACAATAAGATATTTTGATGAAATAAAAATAATGTTTTTTTTTTTTTATATATATATTTTCTCAATTTATCAATCATGAAGTATTTGTTATGTTATATTACCTATTGATATAAGATGGTTTCAACTTATTTATTAGATAATTAAGAATATTACTGGTCGATATCAACTTTTTTACCAGTATTTTGGAAGTTATTAATAACTTAAAGTAATGTCATAGGTGATGCTATTTTTATCATTAGATTTTTCTGGGCCTTATCCCTCTTACCGTATAAGTAAAGAAATGTTAATAACTTCCAAAATAATGGTCCAAAAGTTGATATCGACCAGTAATTTTCTTAATTTGATTATTACCTAATAAGAAAGTTAATTAATTTTGTAAGCTACTATTTGAAAAATAAAGTTGACATCCCTATAAGACATAAGAGATGAACATTATAATTACTTCATGATTACAATTCGTATTTAGTTGAAGTTATTACCCTTAAAAATTGAAAAAAAATTCCTTATTCACATAAAAAGTAGCTTAACCAGCTTTTTCCATACAAACAATTAAAATTATTCATTTCTAATATTTTTAAAGTATTTATTGTCGAATTAGATTTGATATGATAAAAGTATTCAACTACAAAAGTAAATAATTTTACTTTGTAATTTATTAATTTTTTTACTCTACAGTATTTGTGTGAGCTACTACCAGTCTATAGTATTCCGAATTTTTTTGTAACATGATGCTATATAAATCATAAATTACAAAAAAAAAAATGATTTTTAGTTTCACCTGAATTTAACGATAGATTTTTACAATTATAATCAAATTTTATAATACGCTCAATTGAGTAAATCTTTTTAACAACTTTTTTTTATTGGTTCTTTTAGTTAAAATAAATCATTTAAATTAATTAAGTTCTGAATATTTCCATTTTAGAATCTTTTTAAACACCAAAAATTAATTAGAAATGATTACTATGATTTTTATTTAAATAATCTATTACGATAATAATGTAAAAAAAAAATCGAACTTTTCTGATAAATTTACTGCAAAGAGTAATTATAAAATTTCCTGCCTGCATATTAATGTTAACAATTTCATTTTTTTCTATTTAATAATGTCAATTTCAAACTTTCAAGTTGATCTAAAAGTTAAGGTAATAAATTCATTTTTTTTTTTTTTTTTAATTATAATCTTTTACTTTAAAGGACGAAATAAAGTAGGTTAAAAATGATTACTTTTAACATATTAAAAATAAAAATCAATAATAATTTGAAAAGAATTAATTATAACAATTATACAGTATATAATTTTATATTACATTTTTGAATCTAAGAATTACTAATCTGGATATAATGAAGAAAATAGTTGATGTTGCTTTTGTAATTAACCACCAATTTCTTAGAATTAAACATTATCTACAGATTTGCGTCGATGCGTTTTTTATGATAGTGATTTTAATCACTGTCAGATTAAATCTATACTAGACCCAACTATGCCACGTCCCCACTGTGCCGCGATCCCATTGTGCTGGATTTTTTTTTTAAATGGCAACATACATATTAAAATAGCTTATAAAATAGAAAATGACTGGTCGATAACACTTTTGGACCAGTAATTCGGAAGTTATTAGCTAGCGTTAAAAAAATCATTATGTATACATATACAGAGTATTCAGTAAGTAAGAAATCAGGTAAATTGTTACAAATAATGGGAAAAACAGAAATCCGTTACCTTGCTTACTGAACACTATATATATCACTGTGTATATATATAATTTTTTTTTGTGTCTGTCACTACTTTTTCTTAGCTCTCACCACACCAATTTCTTTCTATGATACGTCAAAAGATCATAAATCGTGTCTAGATGAAGACATTACTCTCAAAATTGAAAATTTTACACTTGTTCCCCTTAAATAGTGAAAATCCCCCATGAAAAATTAAGATTTGAAAAATCGGAAAATCTCGACATTTTTTTAAAAAAAATTTTTTTTTAAATTTGCCATAACTTATTGAAAAATGAAAGAATTAAAATAAGTTTTTTATATATTGAAATCGTAGACATTTTTCTTTCAATTGATATAAATTTTTTGAAAATCTGACCCTTTATCCAACATGAGAGATTCAAAATAGCAACTTCTGCACAAAAATTTAACTTTTTCAACTTAAGTTTTAAAAATGTTCCGGAAATACTTTGACCTTTAAACATATGCTAAAATAAAGCTAACTATAAGTTCAAAAAAAAAAAATAGTCCGACGACTTATCTTCTATGTGAAAATGGTTCCCATAGATAAAAAAACATGCAATTTTGGTGTTAAAATTTACAATTTCAAATTTTATTATTTTATTATTAATTAAACTTTTTCAACTCAATTTTTGAAAATTTTCCGGAAATATTGACACTTTTATTTAATCTTAAATTAAATATTTGTAATATACCTTACTATGAAAAAAAAATTTCGAGATATAGTGATCATGGTTATCATAATCAATAATATGCTATTCTTATAATAAAATTTTGGGTTTAGTATTTAATCATTGCCTGTGGCAATGATACTGTATGATACTTAGTATCATCTATACTAGTCCCAACTATGCTACCCTCACACTGTACTGCGGCCTCACTGTGTTACCGTTTTTTTTTATATTTTGCTTTATAGATTAAATTAGCAGTTGTTTATTTCAGAATTAATATGAGACATATTTATTTTTTTATTTGACATATTAACTTGGAATAATTAATTATTTAATGTGATTTTTCAATATAGTGATTGATTAAATGTACAATATTTTTTTTGTTTAAATATTTTATATAAATCAAAATAATCATGATTTTATTATTAAATTAGAATATTAAATAGGGGAAATAATTATTACACTCTAAGTATTCCATTTTTGAAAAAAAAATTATTAGGTTAATTATATTATGTAGAAAGTGCATAAATCTCTAGGTACTTTTACACTAGAAGTTTTTCATTTAGATGAGTATGACAAATAAAACAGCTCAACAAATGATATTTGGTTTATTTTCTGGGTCATCAACTAAAAGAATTGAATTTGTCAGGCTCAAAGGACCCTATGGTAAAGGTTATGCTGAATTGGCTGTTGCAAAACCTTTAGGTTTGTTTTTAATAATTATTTATTTTACTGTTTTTAGTTGTTCCATTTTTTATTATTATTTTTTGTAATGGTATTTGTTGTTAGGATCAGGTTGTGACGTAGAAACACCTACATCTGAACCAGGTTACAATGCATTAGATTGGGATTCAGACCTAAATGCTGATTTAGAAGAGTTTTATTTTTGCAGACATCAGGTAATTTTTTTTTTTTTATATATATTTTTCATTAGTTATTAAATATAACATAACATTAAATATTATACTTATAACCACTGAATATTTTGAATTTTTAATCTGGTAGTTCTGAATTTACATCAATACTGATTAAGTATTATCAATTAAATCAATGAGATTTTTTTAAATTTTCTCTTGTTAAGAATGAAACAATATGATAATAAAAACATTTTTTATGATCAAGTGTACTATTTTGTGATTATTTGTTACATGAAGTATTACATACTTTAGAAGATATTATCTTATTGTCACTATTCTCCCATTTCACCCACTAGCACTTAATCCTGTGTTTTACATTCTTGACTATACTTCCGTTCTTTTACACAACTAATACTAAATACTTAAAACTTTCTACCTCTCCTATACGTACTCGCTTATTGTCACTATTCTCCCATTTCACCTACCTCGTGTTCTCATTTGTCAAACTCGTACTCTATATTACTCCTGTGGGTTATATCTTACAACACACAATTATTTAAATGGCGGTAGACTTTTATTAAACAAAATTATAACACTAAAATAGACGTATAAACACTAAAAGAAAATATATGTATATACAGTAAGGAAAAATAAAATAATCGAAGTAAACATAATACACGATGACAACAGCGGCGGGGTGTAGCGGTCGTGTAGCGTATCGCGGACTAGACAGTCTGAACTGAACTAACTGNAGCTGATCTCCACACCTCTGGCCTTTGATTAATTATCTTTCTATTTTCTCCTATTAACACCATATCATCAGCGAACAAATAAGTGAAGCCATATAGAACCTTGATGCACTCCTACTCTTACCAAAAAATGTCTGTTACTCTGCCCTCATTTTTTGTCCTGGTACAAATACCATCATACATATCCTCTATTATATTAATGTATCTTTTTGAGACTCCTTTCTTATTAATAACCACTTAAAAATCTCTCTTTTGCTATTCTATCATACGTTTTCTCCAAATCTATAAATACCATATACAGCACTTTCTTCTTTTCCCTATACTTATTTATTAGTTGTCTCACACAAAAATCTATCTCTATTGCTGATTTTACAGGCAAGAACCTAACTAGTTCATTGTTATTTATGTTTGTCCTATTATTCTCTTATCTGTTACCTTTTCCCAAATTTTCATACTATGACTCATAAACTTTTTGCTTCTACAATTTCCACACTCTTGTATGTCTCCTTTGTCTTTAAATACTGACACCACAATACTTTTCCTCCGTGTTGTATTTTCCCTTCCAATAGGATTTTATTAAAAAGATCCTTCAATTACTTTAAGCTAACAACGCCTAATATTTTCCTAACTTCTTTTTGATTGATGCTACAGCTTCCAATACCTCTTTATTTCAAATATTCAATGTGCAAAAATTTGATTCTCTTAGTTTTAGAAAATATTTGTTAACTATAATGTACATACAATGGACACTGACGCTTGTTAACGCATTGTAGCTAGAGCATTCTGTTTCAATTTATTGTCTATAGTTTATTGCCTCTGGATAAATAATAATTGTTTAAATTTTCTACAGAGACGGTTAAGTGATCCATGCACTAATATTAACATATTTACAAATGGTAATTTAAAGTTAAAAGTTAATGATAATAATATGTCAAAGAGAACTAGATCAGAAAGTGATGGATTGGATAACTTGGCCAATGGACTGCCTGAAATAGAAGCTGGAAATGTTAAGGATGGTAATTCAAAATAAAAAATAAAATCCTTTATTTAAAATTGCATTTAATTTTTAACACAAAAAAAAATTACTTAAATTTAAACTGTAAATATAAAATTATGCTTCTAATGGATGTACTATTATTAACTGATATCAAAATAACTGAGCAATTTCCAGTACACCATTAGTGTAATCAAGATTTAATGGACTTCAAATTATATTTATTTTATTGGTGTTTTGATTCTAACATTTGGAACATAAATACTTTAGTTTTTGAAATCATTTTGTATAGCATTGAAGGAAATTAAGGAGGTTTAGTTCCTTAAAATTAAGAATAATAAATTTAATTGTCTTTTTGGCTCATTTATACTTTAAATGTAATTCTCTTAGAAGGTATTATTAAAATTAAACTTTTTTAGCTTCTCTAAATTTTGTATAAAATTTTATATTATAATATAACATCATAATATTCATATAACCTTTTTGTGAATTATTAAAATCTGTTATTTAAATCATTTCTCTCATGGGATTTAAATATTGAATTTATAGTTTTTTTTTTTCAATTGAAATATAATAAAAAGTTAGAAAAATAATAATAAAAGTTGAATTATTTTTAGAATTGGATGATGGTGTATATAATCCACTGTGGACAATGAAAGGATTTGCACAAACTTTTCATTTTTGGAAAGAAACCAGAAGGGCACAGTCTATTCCATTAAACATGTTCCTAACATACATTACTTTGCCTTGGTGGAGTATAATTGAAGGTCATAATTATTACATGTTTTATTAAATTGAATTTAATTACTTTTATTTTATTATTTAACTCTTGAATTATTTATATCTTTTTTTAGATATCTTAGCTGATCAAGATAATCCAATTCTTACTTTTTAATAAAATATTTATTTTTATTTTTATTTTATAATACTATCAAAATTATAAAATGCCATTGTTATTAAATCTATTAATACTATATAGCATTATATATTTAAAACTTTTATTTAGATAATTTGTATACATTTGACTAATTTATTATTACTTAATCAATTTTGTAAATATATTTATTACAAATTTTTTGTCAGATGTGATTTCAATTATTAAATCAACGTTTTGAGAACTATTTTGTTAAGTTGACATAAAATTATTTGAAGTATGTGTAAGATGAGTAGCAATAAGATTAATAAGAGAAAACAACTTTAACTTTAACCAGAATGTTTAAAATTACTTTAGATATAATTAATATTTATACCTTAATATTAAATTAGGTTAAATGATCACAATTTGTACCCATAAAAAAATACACTTATAAAGTTTTAAGAAAACATATAAATTTAAATATAATACTATTAAAAAGTTATAAAATAATTCATCAACAATAGTTAAGATTGGCTTAACATAATAGTACTATTCAAAAATCATAGATATAAACATAAAAAATACTTACAGTTAACTTAGAGGAAAAAATAAATATATTATTTCAGTTTAAAATTAAAATATTGAATGTATAAAATCTAAAAGATCATATAATCTTGTGTCTATATAAGATAACTAATATTTAATAAGTCTATTTATTGTTTTGATTTTTGTTTTTTTTGCGTCTCTGTTGATGTCGTCGTCTCATTACAGATAAGGTTGAATTCAATTTATCACACCATTCTTGACGTTCTTGTTTAGTGTCAGCTGATAAAAGGTGTCTACAAAAAAATTATCATTTAAATGAAATCTTATTAGAAGGGAAAATTCCAAATGAATATTATTGTGGTGCGAATATTTAAAGGTAAAGTGGTCATACAGGAATGTGGAAATTATAGAGGCATAAAGCTTATAAGTCATAGTATGAAAATTTGGGAAAAGGTAATAGATGAGAGAATAATAGAACAAACATAAATAACAAAGGACCAGTTATGTTTTTGCCTGTAAAAACAGCAATAGAGACAGATTTTTGTGTGAGACAACTAATAAATAAGTATAGGGAAAAGAAGAAAGAGCTGTATATGGTATTTATAGATTTGGAGAAAACGTATGATAGAATAGCAAAAGAGAGATTTTTAAGTGGTTATTACATTAATATAATAGAGGATATGTATAATGGTATTTGTACCAGGATAAAAAATGAGGGCAGAGTGACAGGAATTTTTTAGTAAGATTAGAAGTTATGAATGTGTTGAAACTTTCATGGATTGTCATATTATTTGAAAAGCTTGAGGATTTATCCATGTTTGCAGTTGATTGTTGACGTTTCGGACTCATTGCAGAGTCCATCTTCGGAGCGATAGTTACTGCTCAAGTAACCAAGTAGTTGGGATTAAAGCAAGGAAAAAGAAGAAGATAAAAATATTAGGGACCCTTTATCATCAAAACTGTTACTAAACATACTGTTTAAAAAACTGTTTTATAAAATGTTGTCTTGGTTTTTAAGAGTTAACTGCAAAATATTTTTGCTCATATTTTAATTTGTTACACATGATTTTATTTTAATAAAGATTTCGGGGGTCACAGCTTTCTTTCCAACTCTGCACATGATAATTAACACAAAATTTCAACTTATTAAGAAAAAATTTAAATATTTTATATAGTACCTTATAGTAGTTAATCCAGTTCGGGGATCTGTTCGAGTTATTAATGAATCACACATACCATCATTTTTATTATATGGTCTTGTACACTCAAATAACAGGGTATTTGGTCTAGCACATAATTCTACACTACATGGACCAACTTCTTGCGTAATGCACTGATTTAAATCTATTGTATCTAAAGGTATCTAAAATAGAAGTTTTACATGTTTAAAAAATTTAAATGTTAAATCTACTATTAGTTGTACTTTAGAATCATCTTCAGCATGTTCAGGGTACTTCCAAAATGACAACATTCCATTTCGTAACCTAAACCAACGACGATGCCATGCGCCAAAACCACTTACATCGTTAAACATAGTTAAGAAACCTTCATATGATAAACCTTCTGATAAACTTTCTTCATTGAAGTTTTCATTGTCATCAAGTTCTAATTTAACTTGTACTACACCCTCTGATAATGGTCCATTGTATAAAACCTGTAAGTTTGGATTTTTAATGTAATAATGCATAATTATATAACTAGTAGATTTCTATAAACACACTTTGCTAAGTGTAAATTGAGTTCGATGTAATTCACGTTTTGAAAATACAAAATACCCCAATAGTTGAAAGGATGTTGATCGCACAGCTGTTGGTCCACCAGGGGACTCAATACTTCCACCATGAAAAGCAGAACATTTCTTCTTACTGTTTTTAGTAGGAGTAAACCAAAATTTACTATCACTCCGCTATAATATAATTTTAATGACAATGAAATGCTATATGATTTTTTTAAATGATATTGATATGATGAAACATTTACTGTATTTGAATGAGATGATGAAGAAGCTCCAAATTTATCAGAACCACTAAGTTTACTTTGATCAACTACCAAACCATATACTTCAACAGTACACTTAAAATCTTGATTAACTTCATTTTCATCTATATTTCCTAAATCTACTCGCAATTCTCCAGGGAATTCAATGTAACCAACAGGTATGCCTGGTGCATTTGATTTACTGCTACTACGATTACCATTACCAGTATAAGACGCTTCTACACTTTGTGTAGCTACAACTTGAGCAGTGGCAGTTAAAATTCCAGTACATTGTGCAACACATACAAAATGATATCTTTTGTCTTCTATATAAAAAAAATGTATTCATCAGTATAAACTACAAAATATTATAGTTTTAATTTATGTGCCTGTAAGTCCCTAAGATTTTTAAGCTTACTGTGCACTAAATATGACAAATGTTGTAAAGTGACTCTTGATAATTTATATTTTTTTGAATACATGATAAGAACATTTTTTTCAACTAGCTTACCTCTAATTGATATATTACGAATATAATCCCAACGTACTGGTACAGCTAATTCTTTGATTATAAGAGATGTGGTAATAGATGATTTTAAAAAATAGGACTTAGTTTCATGACTTCTAGGATAAAGAGTTTTTTCAACTCGCAAACGTTGAACTTCCATAAGGCAAGCATTTCGTTTAAGACCTATTTTAAAATTTCATAATTATTCATTATAATAAACAAGTCTAAAATACATTGAACAATACTTTAATCTGAATAAAAGAATATCTGTTATTCATCTGATAACTATGTGTTTAAAGTATTCAAATACATTACCAGCAATTAATAAAAGACGCTCTGCTTGTACTTGTTCAGCAGATCCTGCAAATTCAGTTGTGGCCTGACAGAGATTAAGGGCTTGGGTAGCTTGTGATATAATAGACTCTTGAACTGGTATCTATACAGGACAATTTTTATTGTTAACCATAAAATATTATTGACATTATTAAAATAATTTATAATTTTTTAACAACTTGTGCTTCTAATTCATGAACTCTCTCAATTACACGGTCTAACTCATCTTCATTATCAGAATCTTTAACTATTTCTTCATCAGACTCTTGAAAATTTTCTTTTATAGCAGCTGTTCGTTTAATTATAGGAGCTAATGGCTATATAAAGTTAAAATATAAAATATTCATATTAAATAATATATTAAAAATTTATATAAAATTAATAAATATAAATTTTTCCATTCTTTGAAATTTAATTAAATCAATTAGTTTCAATTAAATTTTACAATGTAAAAGGAAAAATTTTTGAACATCAACCTAAGTGAAGAACATTCATTAAGTTTTATTAAATAACAAGGCTTAATTTAATTAATTGAGAATATCAAATATTAATAAATAAGAGGAAAAAATAGAATTTTATTCTGGTAACTTAATATTTTAACCTAAGAAACTATTTGATTAAATTAATTAAGTATGCTATTATTAATTATTAACCTTTAATTGCTGATATTGTTGTTTTCTATATGTGCTCACAGTATGAACCAAAGGTGTAAAAACTGCAGAATTATTATTTTCTTGACTTTTGGCATGATCTACATAAGTAAAACTGGAAGACTGAAGTGGACTACCCAATAAACTATTATTTGCTGTAGAAAGAGGACCGCTAAAAGGTGAATCCTAAAAAAAATTTAAAGTGGAGATATATTGATATACAAGAGATTAAAAAAAATATATTACAACTTCTAGTCCTACATTTGAAGAATTATTTAATTGTTCATGCAATGTATCATAATTTTTAGAACGTTTTATGTCTGTAACACCATTTATACATTGATTTTGTTCAATTTCATTGAATGATATTAAACTTGAAGTAGAACTTTCCAGTGTCTTATTTAAAACAGAATTGATGTGTCTCTATAAAGTGAAATACTTTTTAAATATAAATCAGAAGATATAATTTGAAAAACTTATTTATTATTTAAACCTTTTGTGGTCTATTGCTTTTTTCTTTATTTGATATAATAGGAGATATATCATTGGTATAATAATTTTCCTTTTCATTAGTATCCATAGATTCTTCTATTTGGTCATCCACATCACATTCATGATCAGAGTCAAAAGATATATTTGGATATAAACATCCAGGTTTTGGAGGTGTAGCTCTGATAATCTTAATATCATTTAATAATGAACTTGTACTACTATTTTTGATAAGTGCTATAATAAATAACAGAAATTTAATTAGTATTAATATCTGCCAGTGGTTATATAATGAATAATATATTATGTAATTATACACAATACCTGATGTCATTGTCGTAGGGACAGTAGTTTCTGGGCATTCAATTGTACTTTTTGACTTTTCCTGAATTTTTGAATAAATTTGCTCATGACCAGTACAAGTAAATTCTGTCTTTGTAAGTTGATTGGTATTGCTATCTAGTTTAGCATTGCCAGTATTATTGCATTTGAATATTACATTCTTTACTTGTGGTTTATCATCAAACAATTTAGTGTTATTGTCTGTTTCTTTTGTTTTAACATTGGATGGATTTACATTAGAAGAGTTTTGAGTTGAAGTGAATGGAGCTGGTACAGCCAACCCTCCATTAGAGATTTGCTTTTCAAATAGAGCTTTTCTTTGAGCTACAGATAGTTGCCAAGGAGAATCAACTTTTTTGGGACTTAAAGTAGATTTTAAACTTTCAGTGTTGCTGAGAGCAGTAGAATGTATAGTAGGCATTGTTATTTTTTTGGGTGAACACAAAGTTGTTTTTTTTTCTTTATCTAAGGAAGGTATTGGAGCAAATGTTACAGAATTTTTTACTTTTACTTTACTCAAGTCATTTTGTGTGGTGATTTTTTTATCTTTATTAGGAGATGAAGATAAACATGTATTGACAAATTTCATAGTTGGCTGTTTTTTTTCCTAAAATATTAATTATATGCTATTAATAATATAAAACTTATTTTATATATTATAGATTATTAAATAAACAAAAAAATTAACAACAATTTTAGTACATGTAGAGAATGCTTATATTTAACATATTCATTTTATTTAATTTAGAGAAAAGTACACCAGTCAAAAATTACTAACTTGTGCAACATCTTTTTTAATATTAGAGTTAATATGAAATGTTTGACCATCATTTTCTTGCCATTCATTGACTTTACTGACCAACTGTGAAAGTTTACTTAATTTACAACCAGTTTGCTTTAATATATTTTGTTCTGAACTCTCATTGTCATCAAGGACTTTAGTTTTGCTAACAGTGCCATCATCTAATATAATATCATGCACAGCATGCACAGGTGAAGATAAGTTAATTTGGTCAGAATCTGTAAACATTTTTTTGATTAATTATTTTTTTATATATTATTCATAATATATGAATTATGCTTTATATTAATAATATCATATTATTAATATTTTAGGAAAACATGTTCAACAATGAAATTTATCAATTAGGGTTTGTTTATAGTGTTAAAAAATTAATTTAATAAGATTAATTAAGATACATAAAAATAAATTTTACATTTGGAATATCACTCTCCAAAAAGCAACCACTTTCTACAATCAATTCATGTCTACAATTTTCAAAAAGATAATTCAATTTTTGTTATATAAGAAAATGCTACCAATCAATCTCGTACTTTTCTATTTATATTAAATAAATTATAACTATGCACTGTACATGCAAAGCAATAGGGTCCAAAAATACTTTTATTAAATTTTACTAATTAAAAGATTTTAAAATATATATTTTATATAGAATTTTTTCTTTTATTTTTATTTGAGATATATTGTTTGGGTATATTTTGTATTTCAAATACATTTTATATTAAATTTTGTTATTTAACTCAAGTTTTTTAATGGATTTTTTGAAAGTGATTGAAACAATTTGCAAAAATTATTGATTGTAAAGATTCAGCTTTTAAAAATTATTTAAGTGGAAAATGATATACTATTACCATTTTACAAAATAGGAATTTGATTTCACTCTAGGGAGAATATTATCTAAGGAAACATTCCATGAAAATATTTGTGAGGAACTTAATGATTGTTGATTATGTATGGAAGTACGTGTTCTGTGAATTTTAAAGAATTCGTAACTAGACAATATATTATAAATATTAAAATATTAAATTAAGATATAAAACGGTAAACTACAGTGACGGGGTTCTTGATATTCATTGAATTCATTCAATCTAAATGAGATAAAATCATTTTAATGAAAAACCGTGGCCTCCCTTCATAAGGTATTTTAAAATAAAAAAATTGTCTAGTTGTACATTACTTAAAAAGTTATGATTATTAAAATTATTTTTAAATTAAATGTTTTCTTATAGTAAAAGTGGCGTCCTTATAATGCAATATTGAAATATATCATAAATACAATATTAAATGCATGATATTATTATCAATAACAGGAAATAATTCTTTTTTTCTGACAAAAATTTTTTTTTACATTACTTATATGATACCAAACTTTCAAAGAGTTATTTAAGACACTTGTTTTAAATTAATACATTATAATTTACTATAGATTATAAAAATGTAATATATTGAGCTGTTACACTCACGGTACAATATAAGTGCATATACTATATATTATAATTTATACATTCAAAATTAGTGCATAATATTACCAGAATGAAGTACTCCTAAACGATTTAAATAATGTTTGGTACGGTCACTTAGTAAATCTTTCCTTGATATTGGTGGAGAAATATAATTGGTAGCATCTTCTTTAGATAATACAGAAATGGAATTATCATCTTGGTGTTTTAGACATGACTTGATTGTAGAATTTTGGGTTGATTTTTCAATATCAATCATTTTTTCTGTATCCTTACATTGCTCAAAATCTTGACTTTTCGATGCTACAGAGTTTAAAAGGTTTTGTCTAGCTTTAGTTCTAGACATCATTCGCTATATACAAAAAAAACATCAAGTAAAATCAAAAGAAAAATTGTTAAATATATTGTTTACCTGGGTAAATTCGTCCATTTTTTATTTATTTTATAAGAACAAAATTCATAAAATAAGTAAAATTTGTTATTTATTAGATCACGAACAACAAAAGATAAAAGAATAAACTTATCAACAAATTACTAAGTCCGTTTTTTAACGGTCTTTCTAGGCGTGAACAGTGTTGCCATCACTACTCACTTAATAAATATTATCAACTGAGTGTTCACATAAGTTGATATTTGTTTTATTATGCTGTCAGTAATGAGAGGAAATATTTGTAACGGCCAGAGTTAATGGTGGGATATTTGAATCATTTTGGTGTACTATTCCTTAGGTTCTATACACAAAAATGATTGATTTAACGATTTATAAATTAATAATACATTTAAAATTACGTAGATTCGTGCATTAGTTTAGGATAGATGATTCACTTTTTTTTTATCTATAATTCCATTTACATAATATTTAATTAAATATTGAGATCCTAGATATTATTTAAGTTTCATCATAGCAATTTGCTATAGCTAAAGGTTTCTGATTTTCATTCATGTATTACACTTTCTCATAAATTCATTGAAATATAAACAATGCTTTTATTAACATAGTTACTTATTATAATTTTTACGATTAAGAAACTTTTTTAGTTGAAACATAATTTTGTTAAATTTTTACTTCAAATATAATAACACAATAAAATTTAAAATTAATATAATTATTATCCACTATACTTTTTAGAGATTTAAATTTATTCCACAAATATCACTAAAATTTATTCAATCAACTGACGAAATAAGGAATAATAATTTTTTTTAATTTTTAATTATATAGAATTGCGAAATACACTAATTAGTGTATTTAATTACTGTTAAACATTTTTGTTTGTTAACAAAGTTTAAACTTTGCTAACAAACTGTGATGGTGTCACGTTACCATTATTGTAGAAAATTATTATAATAAAACACAGACAGCGCATCCGCTTCTAGAGACTGATTAATTGACGATTAATATTTATTGCGAAATTGGCATCGTCCGAATTACTATTTAAACTCAAAGGTTTAAGCTTTAGTGTTTGAGAATTGAACACTTGAGAAGTGTTTGAAGGATTGGAAGAAGCCTTGGCACAAGTGCATAATATCTAATGGGGATTTTTTTGAAGGCGACAATATTAATGTAGACGAATAAATAAATATTTAAAAAAAAAAACGAAAATTCTTGTAATTTTCTGAACACGCCTCGTATTTTATGAATTTTTATTTTAAGAATTATACGAATTTTGTACTTAATTATATAATGTTTTGTATAATAATATTTATAGTGTAATATTGTACTTCATACATTTAATTAAATATTTCATTAACCAGTTGGATTTGTTACTAACAACGAATAGAACAATTCAATTTTTATTTTAAATAATCTACAATTTTATATTAATAATTTAAATAGAAGATAAATATTGATAACGTTTGTTTACCGATTTTTCCATATTACTGCATATAGCGGCGTGTTTCATTGAATAATGATGATTATAACCAAGACGACTATCTAGTTTTACTATATATCTATAATTGAATCCATGTAATCTATTGATAGCAACTTAAAAAACTTAATACTGATTAATGATAATAAAGATTTAATCAGTGTTACCATAGAATTGATTCATCAACTCGCTTCTCCGAGTCTCTTCAGTCGAATTTTTCGTTAACTACAATCCGATAGATAAACTTATGTTCAAAAAATGAGTAGCTCAACGATTCGGTCAGATTCAGAAGAACAAAAAATTTTCAAATGTCATTCAAAAGCTGCAACTAAACAGCCATTTTCATTATTGGTTTGTACTTAAATTAATTAAAACTCTATATTGTTCAAGAATTTTCTAAAATTAATTTGTTCTGTAATAGATAATAGGCAATACAAACTGGAGTAGCAAATTGGAATATGCTATGGTTGACTATCATGAGAATAATCATTCGCATAAAATACAAGTTATGAAAGCAAATAGTATAAAATCAATTTTATCTACATCTCCCAATATTTATACAGATCTTGTTATAATTCTATTGGATGTCAGAAAGAATGATTGTCTTGTAGAAGTAATCTATAAAGTTAATTTATTTTGATTTATATTTTTAACTTTTAAAACCTGTTTTTAGCTGGAATTAAATCTATTGTCTTTAGAACCAGCTTTGTTATGCGGTAGAACTATTTTGGTTAATCCGAGATGTGACATTAATCATAAAGATATGGGTATTACTTATGAAAATATTGATGTTTTGAAAAGAAAATATGACCTTATTATAATACATGGAAATGTTGATGTAAGAATAATAGTAATCTAAACAATAATTATATATTTTAACATTATGTGTTTTATTTAGGATTATTTAAGTAGAATGTTTTTAGCAAGAAGAATAATGGTGTTTGCTTATAAAGTCAATTATAATGGTATACCAAATGTATTAGAATTACCAGTACTAAAAAAATAGACTATTTTTGTGTAAATATTGTATGATATTAATATTTAATATTATTGTAAATTTTATAATAAAATTTAATTTATTTTTTATATATTTTAATACAAAAAAAAAAAGTTGTGAATTGTTAAGGTTTCTGTCAATATAATTTTTAAAGTGTCTATAGGCAAAAAAATAAATAGAAAATGGAGAGTCGAATTTTTAACTACAGGATATGGGGATGAATAAATTATTATCATCGTTTATTTCAGAAACCCCATAAATTACAAAAATTGTAAAACAACTTTTTTTGTATTTTCTTGTATTCTATTAGTAGACGCATCAAATTGTGCAGAAATCCCATTTGTGCGTCTTATTTATATGACTTATCGCATCTTTGGAATAATTTGTTTATTACAGAAACCCTACAAGTGACATCGCAAAAGGGATTTCTGCACATCATATCTAGTTGAAGACATTACCCTTAAAAATTGAAAAAAATTCCCTTGTTCCCCGCAAATGGGGGAAATATCCAAAAAAATTACAAATTTAAAAATCGCTAATTTTCGAAATTTTTTCACTTTTTTTTCTTAAAACTTCCATAACTTTTTCAAAAATCAACAAATCAACATAATTTTTTTTTATACTAAAACCTTAGATATTTACCTTTCATTTGATATCATTTTTTTGAAAATCTATCACTTAACCTGCTCATTGGGGGGGATTTAAAATGGCAACTTTTTTACAAAAATTAATTTTTTCAACTTAATTTTTGAAAATGTTCCGGAAATACTGCGTCCTTTAAACATATATCAAATTAAAGCTTATTTTATGTACTATAAAATGAAAAAAACAATTCTTTTCCCGACGACCTATCTTCTATGCGCAAATGGCTACCATATACAAAAATATGCTATTTTAACAAATTTTTTTTTTTAATTAAACACTATCTACAGATTTGCATCGAAGCGTTTTTTATGATAGTGATTTTAATCACTGTCAGATATCATCTATACTGGACCCAACTATGCCACGACCCCACTGTGCTGGGTTTTTTTTGTTGTCTTAATTTAGTTCATTAAATAATTTTAAATCGATTTAAAATGCAAAAGTAGTGGTGAAAAAAAGCACATCCAAGAGAGGGCATTTTTTGAAAAAATCTGTTCAAATCCTTGATAACTTGGGATTTGAATCCTTTCTATAAATATTACACTCAGGAGTAACTTTTGAAGAGAGTAAAAAAAGAACCTTTGGTAAAAATTAAGTAGAGCTCTTTTTTTTTAAAAGCATAGGATCATAGGCGCATTTGGGTGCCAAAGAGAAATTATAAAAATTACATGTTATTTATATTAAAACATGTAAGGGGGATAAATTAAATTAGATTGCTAACATTTTGTTTAAATTGCCCTTATGGATTATATGATAAAAATATTTTATACTTATATTTTAATTTTAATTTTAAACTATTATTATTATAATAATAATAGCATATTTTTAATTTTTTTTTAGGGAAAAGGACAAATAAAAATTATTTATTACCTTAAAAAAAATTGTATTTTTATCAAGTAATTATTTTTATGAGGGGATATAACTTACTTCATCACCCTTCTTTACGGTAAAGGAATACGCGGGTTGGCGTTGGGTGAACATCGCCGTCCCCCCTCGACACGGGAGCCTCCTCGTCTCGAAGGTGTGGGTCCATTAGGCCCAGACCACTTTCCTTTCACTTGTTCCTGTTTTTCCGGGTCTAGGCTATTACATGATGAGTAGCCTCGGCCTACCTCCTTTTCCACGGGGTAGAAGCCGCCTCATCCAAGGCGACCCGAGTAACTATGAGGTACTCGGGCTGTTGGGGCGCCTGTCTGATAAATACAGGGATACTATAATTATGTTTATTTGCGCTATAAAACAGCGCCAGCACTGTAAGGTAGACATTGTCTGAAATGAAATAAAACACATAGACGAAAGTATAAAAATATAAAAAGAAACTGATGTAGGATTGTATTAACAAATTATCATATCACGCATTCTACCGGAACAATTTATAACTGGTATTATTTATATTTATATTCTGATAATAATGTTTAGAAGATATATATTATGATAGTATTTATGAATGGATTAAATAATACTGGTAACATATTGTGTATGCATATCGATTGAATTGTAATTATCAAATCATTTAAAAAATACTCGTTATTTTTCTTAGTATCAGCTAAATCTTGTAAATAAAATGATTGAGTAAGATTTATGAGTATATTAAAATATGACTATTAACCTCTTGATCATGTTTTACTCTAGCCAAGAGGTATATATAAAAACTATTTATAAACCTTTTAAAACTATTTATCAGTAATCTTTTACTTACGGCTCAAATTATACAATTTTATAATTTCATAATGTCCAATCATCAGAATATTGAATCCATAGTAAATACAGTAAAAATAGAAAAAGAGGTTCAAATGGAAAAAGATCATTTGTTGTTTAAGAAAACATTAGAATGGGAAATGAGTTTAGACGCCAGAGATTTACGTTCCCATGCCTGGTATCATGGTAGCATAACAAGGTCTAAAGCTGAAGAACTGCTAATAGAAGAATTTGAGAATGACGTTAAAACTAATGTTTGCTTAACTGAATCTATTGATCATAACTCTGGAAGTCTTTTTTTAGTTCGGGACTGTACTACACAATTATCAAATTATGTTTTATCGTGTCTTGTACAAAAAATTAATGGAAATGGAACATACCAAATTTTACATTTTGTTATTAATAAAGTAAAAAAATATGATTATTTATTTTAAATTGATGGATAGTTTTTTAATTTTAACTTACAAATTTTTAGATCGTTTTACAAGCAGATACAGTATATGAGCATATTCAATATCGTTTTGAACAAGATTCCTTTGATACAGTTCCAGATTTAATAACATTTTATGTTGGTAGTGGACAACCAATATCATGTGGGTCTTTAGTACGTATTCGTACTCCTTGCAATAGAAAATATCCATTGACTGTTGTGGAAAATATTGAGAATAACAGCAATCTTAGAAATTCTAATAATTTATTTAAAAATAACTTTTCATCTTCACTTGAGAATATTTTACAGAACAAATATCCCATAATACCACCAGAAAATACTCCAAACAACTTGCCTCCAAAATTACCTGCTAAACAAGCAGTTAATATGCAAAATATTATTAAAAAACTACCTTTTAATAGAAATACACCAACTGCAAATATTTGCATTTCTTCTACAAATTCTTTACCACGTGAAAGTAGCAGTAAAACACTTTCCAAATCATCTTATCATGCTGTTAATATAATTAATACAAGTACAATTCCTAGATCTAATAAAGTTGAAAATAAAGTGATAAAAGACTCTTTGAATAGTAATTCATGCATCACATCAAATTTGTCTTCTAATTTCACATGTAGCAATTATAATAGTACAGATATTAAAATGGGATCATCTGGTAATATATCAAATATATATACAAATTATCCAACAACAAATTTGAAAACTGAATCCATATCATTAAGCGACCTTTCAGTTAGAAAAGAAAATGAAAGCAATGATGGCACTTTAAAAAAACAATTGAATTCTAATAATTTTAAAGGCGGTGTATTGATTAAACATCCATTATCTATTTGTAATCAAAGTAAAGAATTAAATCAATCTTTTATGACTATCATACCAGAAGGAAAAAATGTTAGTCTAACACCGTCTGAAAACTATTTATGCTCTAAATCATTGTTTAGTGACTTAGATAACTTTCAAACCTTATTGTTACCATCTACTTTAGAAGGAAATAAACCATTAGATGATATAGCTTTAGAAGGTGTTCACTTAATGATACAAGATACTTGCTCAAGAGTGTTAGCAAATCACTTAACTTATATTGATTTATCTGTGACATTATTTTGTATTGATAATAAAAAAGAGAGATCTGAGATTGTTGAAGATGAAAATACTAAAACTGTTTGCAAACTTTCTGCATGTTCTAATGGTGAAAATAAAAAATTTAATTTCACTACTTATAATTGTCCTTTAGAACTATGTCTTTTACCTAATGGCCATCGTCGACGTTTAGATCTAATTGAAAGGTAATTAGTCATTTTATACCTAATTAATTATAAGAGTATAATTTTTAATAGATACACATATATATATATATTTGTTTTAGGAATGAATGCATTAAATTACTGGTTGCAATAACTATACTAACATGTAAAAATTTAGAAAATAGAGTACAACTTTTGGATAAATGGATTCAAGTAGCTATAGATTTAAAAACTGCTTTGGGTAATTTATATGGTTTTTCTTCTATCATGTCTGGATTATGTGATTTTAATGTAAGTATATTGTTACACTAGATATCTGAAAATTTGAAAAATAAGAATTCTATACTAAAGTATCTTTCTTACGTGTTATACCTTTTTTTTCTAGTGGTGATGTTACATTAAAGTGAAAAAAAAGGACATTGTAATAGAAATTTTAGATTAGTTTAAATGATTTACCCAGTATTAAATTAATGAAGTAACCTATTTCCCATTTAGGAAATTAGGGCAAGATCAGATAATTTGTAAACAAAAATGTGAAATTAAAAGTCATATTTGTAGAATTTTTTGCAATTCTAAACAAGACTTCGCTTATATTTTATAAATAATTCAGTTATTAATTAATTAATATTTAAAATGGTACCTAAAATATTTTGTTTAAATCATTGTACTATATGTACTATTATATTATTCTATTATAATGCCTGTTTTACTTTTCTCATAACATTTAAATTTTATAAAACATAAATTAATATATGTTTTTACAATTTTAGTAATGTTAGTAAATCCTTATTTTATAGATACAACGATTGAATAATTTATGGCTAGCCCTTAGGAAAAATTATACTGACTCGGCTTTTAATTTTGAAGCAAAATTACGTCCTCAATGGCTAAACATGAATCGTGGTATTAATCCACAAGCTCCTAATACTACTATTCCTCATCTAATGCCTATAATATGGCTTCATGAAAAAATTTATTTTTGTAATGTTGATTATCTGCAAAATCAAAACTTGACTAACAGATCAAATCTTAAAAAAAATATAGACAGCAATGAACAAAAGTATAATGGTATGTATAGGAAGATAATATATAAGATAATACTAATAGAAATTAAATATTAGTTTATATTAAAATAATTTAAATTATTATGCTTGGAGCAGAATAAATTATAATTTTATAAAATTTATCAAAATAATTTCACAACTTTTTTTTGAGTCATGTAGAAACTATCTTAAAACAGAATTTGAATTATTAAATACATTATAATAATATAATCATATCAATTATAAATGTATAAAAGTAATAGAACTGTAAAACAAAAATCAAAACTATATCAATAATCTATGAAATCAATACTGTTAAGCAAAATAAAACAAAAAATTTGGTAAAAACGAAAAACGATGAATGTTAATACAGTTAAAGAATATTTAACAATACTATATAAAAAATCAGCAAAAATAGTGACATAACTAAAAAAAAACAAATTTTACAGGAGAGTCAAAATAAAATAAAAAATTTTACTATATACAAATTATTTTTTTTGCTAGATTTTTTAGTATAAACTATTAAATTAATGTCCTTAACCTAGCTTAAAAATTATTGTATTTTTTTTTTTGATAAGCAAAATATTCTTTGTATGAAAAAAAATATAAATGAATAGTTCATTAAGTTTTTAAAAATAACAACTACAGTTCACTTTTTTAAATAATAAAATTATAATAGTCTAATTTAAAAAACTACACTTTTTTTTTCAATTTTCAAGTCTTGCATTAACTTTTTAAATTAAAATCATTATTCATTTTTATTACTTTTTAATTAAAATGGTTGTCAACGACCAATTTTTTTTTCAATTGACACGTCCCAATTTTTTATTGGTTTTTTTTTAAAAAGTCCTGTTTTCAAATATAATTATTTTTATATTGATAGGCAATAAAATCAAACATATCTTATCTTACATCAAAGCTAAAATATTATGATTTTTACATTTTTAAATATTTAATTCTATAAAAAAAATTGTGCAAAAATTAAAAAATAATAATAATAATGTTTTTATAACACCAATTTTTTTAATCCTAAGAATTTTTCAAAATTGTCTATAAAAGTTTGATGGCATTTTTATGTCAACCTACATTTAAAGTGAAAAAGAATATAATTTTAACTTTGTTAATTTCTGGCTTTATACTGATCTTAAAATCATGATAATTAAATTGAATGAAGCTTTTAAATATCAATTAATTATTTATAAAGATCTTTGTTTATAGTTCCTAACAATTGAATAATGAATGTTAGATACTTAATTGTACTTATGTCATTTATTTTTTTGTTGTTGTAATAATTTTTAACTGTTGTAAATAATAAAAGAGTTATACCAATAGTAGCTTTCTGTTTAAAATTATATTTTAAGTATTTTTTTGTGATAATACTAAAATAATTATTATTTTCATAGGGTTTATGAAATCAATGACTTCATTGTGTAACCAATTATCATTAGATGAAATCAGTTCATATAATGGCACCCATGGAGAAAATGCTAGTGCAAGCCTTAATTCTATTAATGAGGGTTTTGAATTACAAACTTTATTAAATCATATGCAAGCAGCCCGATCACACCTACAATCTCTTGGTGAATATAGACGAAATGCTGATACTGTATTACCTATGATAAACTTGTCTCCTAGTAAATCAATACCTCAATGGTCTATGCTTAGTTCTACCACAATGGATCAGCTTTTATTAGATTTATTTAGTACAGAATTTTTATTAAAATTTTTATGGGGTAGCAAAGCTATGAGTAGTCAAATAATAACCCAAGATTACTATGGAAATTCTCTTGATAATAATACTAATATACCATCTCCAATAAGTGAAGAAGTAGATGTAATTAATTTAGAGTATGATTCACAATGTATTCAGCAAAGACATGTAAAATTTAAAGAAATACTACATGTGATGTCAGAAAAGTGTGAAATACAAATTAAATCAGATATATCAGTTGAGAATGGTATTGGTATTATAGCTAAAGATACATTGAAAACAGCTGTTTAGTTTTTCAACATTAGTAATAATTCTTATATAATTTATACAGAATTTTATAATTTTTACTGAACCTCAGTAATTAATTTATTAATTTCTATTGTAACATCATTTGTAGCTACCTTTCTATACAATAGATCCAATGAAATTCGTACAAGAATAGGTTTTTAGTTCATTACTAGTATTTACTATTCATAAAATATTTAAAAAATGGTAGAGTAATATTATTTTATAATTTTTACTCTGTGGATTAAACACAATCTCGATGACTCCAAATAATTTATTATTTAATAATTCAATAGCAAGAAAAATATTTATTTAAAAATCAATATAGTATTTATTGTAAAGATGTTTGTTTCTCTTTCATATATGAAAGAGGCTTTTATTAACTGATAGTCCAACCATAATCCATTATTAATCTGTAAATATTGTAAATATTTTTGTTAATGAAAGATAACGGAAGAGTTTAGAGGTGTATTAAAAATATGTTTCTTAATCTTATCCATTATACAATAATTTTGAAGACAAAAACGATTAGGTATACAAGTAATTATTATTTCTAATATAGAAAGGGAAATTTAGAAACAGTAATATCACAATGTTCTATGTATTCAAATATAACACAATTCAGATAAATTTTAAGAGTATTATGATATTTTTATTTGTTGATGATTGATTAGATGTCACAACAAATAATAAACTTGTTTCTACTATCTACAATATATATGTGTAATTTATAAGGGATTTCGGCACTGATTTCAAATCTGGCTTCAGATGTTTTTATTTTTTATTTACTAATACTAATTAGTAAATATATATAAACTAAACAATTAAATTATTATTAAACAAATAATAAAATATTTTTTAAAAACTTTTTTAATATAATTTGTTAATGTTGTCAAGAAATGTTGTGCAAAATTTGGATATTATCTGTCAACTTTAACTATTTTTGTAGTTATTTAAACGAGTTTGAAGGACATTTTCAAAGAAAAAAGTTGAATTTTCTATTGTAACTATTTTTGGTTTAACATCTTGATTATGTTGTTGCTACCAGTTAGTAGATAATTTTGTAAGAAACTCAAAAATATAAATGTTTTGTTTTTACATAACAAATAACTGGAAAAGCACATTCATGAAAAAAATATACATACAAATTTATGTACTTCAATTTTATTAGTATAAGTTTCTTTTATTACAGTTTTCGTGAGGTTGAAAAAAAATTTAATTTTTACACCACTTTACAGTGATGTAAATAGATTTGGTGTATGACACTTAGTTATTCAGTTATTTAACTAAAGTTGTAAAAATAGTCACAAATTTTTGCAAATTACAATTGGTAATTTTCACTAAGTTTGGAAGTCAAAAAACTAATTAAATCATGAAATAATTATTATATACCAAATGTAATTATATTATTAAGGCTGTTAATTTTTTTTTTCATACTCACAAAAAGCTACACTAAAAAAACTGAAATTTAAGAGTCTTTAAAAATGGTTTAATTTGACATGTATGCCTCTTATTTGCAAAATTTATGGAACATCATATAAGACAAGTTAAAAAAAAATTTTTTTCATTTTTTTATAAAGATTTATTTAATTAATACTTTTTAATCACTGAGTAGTAATTATCTTAAAAGTTAGATTTGATTGAATCTACTGCTACATTAGAATCACTATTGAAATTTCTTATAGAATTCACCTAAATATTGTAGACAGCAAAATAACTGTTGCCTAGTGTTATGCATTTTTCATATAAATACAAACATTTGATTATAATATATATTATATACACAATAATTTGTTAAAGATAAGACTCTCATCTTCTTGAAAATTATTAAAAATTTGAAATTTTTACTAAAGATAATGCTTTGTTTAGTTTGAAAAACTCTACAATGATATGTAGTTAAATAGTTTTTTTTTTATCCCTTCGGGGTTAAAAATTTTTAATTTTCTCTAATGGGAATCTTCAATTTTAGATGGATAATATGTTAGAAAAATAATTTACATATGAAGGGTAAAAGGGAAAATGATTTATTAGTCCATTAACTATAGTATCAAGTAATGGAATCTCTTTTATGAAAAATATTTCATTTTGTTAATATTATAGTGTATATTTTTATTTTATTATTAAAGGAATATATGTATATATATGACTGATCTAAACCTGATAACTAGATCATTAGCCTACAAAACAGTTTATGATTGCAAGTGTATATTTATACTATTCGAAAAAACAATTGGTTTTGGGGGTGTTGCAGCTTATACTAATTGGAGGCTCTACTTTTGTAATTAAGTGACAGTGAATCATTAGTGGACCTATTCCGAGTCTGTTTATAATAGTTTCTTTTTGTGAAGTGGTATGTCCCATTTCACAATGAATTCTTTAATTTCGTTAAATTTGGTACTCATGTTGCGCCACTTATTCTCTCTTGGTTTGTACATTTAGTTGTAAAAATCTAAGATTAGATATCGCTACATAAGGCTGGCGCGCTAGTAGTGCAAAGTGTCAATCCAGTTTATGCTCAAAAAAAAGATTCCTTTTTACTAATAAAAATACTTTGGTACCATAAAAATTGTTTTGCACAATGAACCGAGATTTCTAGATCCTGCCCTTGTAGAGTTCTCAAAAAAATGGACTAGATCTGACTGGATATAGTCCATCCAGAGAAGTTAAACTTAACTTCTCTGTGAATATTCTGCTACAAATATTAGTATTAATTTTACTTAATAAATAAGTATTAAATGTTTTAATCTTAATTATAACCATTGTGACTATTATAAATATAGGTTTCCTAGTTTCTAGAGATCTCTTTTTTACATTTTAAGTTATAATAATAATATTGAAAATTATAACTATAACTTTTTAAATATTTATTTATATTCATTTATTATGTGTTGTTTTTTAAATCTTATATATTTATCAATGTTTAAATGGTAAATTTTTAAAATTAAAATTTTTTTAAATGTGCCAATATTTAATATTATTCATAACAAATATTTATCTTTCTGAAATTTATAATATTAGATGGTAGATTAACTTTTGTAGTAGAACTAGTATCAAGTTGGTATAATTAAAAATCGTATAGTTTTATTATGATGCATAAAAATATTAATCTTAGCATATTGTGATTTTTGTACTTTTTTAATGAAATTTTAAGATTTTTAATATTTTGTATTTTTTATGTAAAAACTACATTTAAAGTTAAATCTTTTCTATTATTAATTTTACCTTGTTTTTATAATATGTGTAGCATTTTTAATACAAATTATACAAATTATTTTATTCTTTATTTATTATTTTGTAATTTTACAAAGATAAATAAGTATTATAACTAATTTTTTTTACAACCAATAATTTGTCATCTTAATTTTTTTAAATCAAAATGACTTGAGGATTGGGTTTTTAGCTTTTTAAACAAAAAAGTAAACAAATATAATGTTATAAAATAAGTAAAAATAAATACACATAATGTAAGTATATTACAAATGCTTATTAAAATAGATTTAAAAATAAATTGGCATCCATTTATAGGTAATATTAATGATTATTCATGTATACTAGTTAATTGTTAGTAAAAGCATAACTAACATGTTTTTTTTTACAAGTCTTACAATAAGGAATCAATGGCATGTACTACTCCATTTGTAGCTGGAATGTTTCGTGCTATAATATTAGCAGAATTAACTCTTACTTTTCCTGAAAATTCACAATTTAACCATCAATGATATACATACAAGGTTAATTTTTAATCTATCTTACCAGAGTCTTTATATATAGTTAATTGAGCTGATGATGACGGGATAGATTTAAGCAGAAGGCTATCTTTAACTTGGTAAAATTTCATGCCAGCTGTATACAAAGCAGCATTTGGTACAAGATGTCTCATGACCAAAGCTTTTGCTTCTTCAATATTCAATAATTCAACTGGATCATTGGATCCTGCTGAAGCAGATTCGATGTGTTCTAAAAGTCTAGATGCATTACTATTTCCCATAAAAGCTCGGTTAACAGGAGCAAATAAAGTATGTGTTTTAGAACCTAAAAATTATAAAACTATTAATATTAAATTGTAAATAAAAAAAACCTAATGCAAAATAGAACAAATAACATCTTGATTAGTAATTAAGTACTACCTAATAAAACCGATGTCATTCCAGAAAATCTGATTAATTTTAAAAATTCTGTGTATTTTTGATCGCGATCCGATTGTAATGTTTGTAATAAATCACCTACTGGTAAAGGGAAAAGAACCCTATCAATAGCATGTGCTATACTATGAACTCCATAAGATGAAGAATCTGATGGGTAATTAACAACTATATCTTTTTTATCATCCAAAATACGTGCTCCGTTTATAGTAATTACCTATAACATAAAATTATTCATAGAAAAAGACTTACTTATAAAAATAAGACCTAAGATTATACTTTAATATCATTCCACTCAACATCTTGTGTCGTAAATGTATTAACTCGCAATTGAGTTCCTGCCAAACTTACTCCAGTCATTTCATCTTGTAGCGACTTAACATTGAAAGCTCCGGGTATCACATGATGTAATAATAGCTATATAAACAAGTAATATTTTAAAATAATTTTCTAATGCATATTATATTTAATTATAAGCGAAATATCTTTGAGTGAAATGTAAATGATTCTTTAGATAAAAATCTAAAGAATTGTGACCATTTGGTTTTAATCTGGAGTTATTGAAAGATTGTGGTCTGAACACAATTCATACATGTATTCACGAATATTATATAAGTAATAGATTTTTAATGAAAAATAACAGGTGCAAATATAATAAAAAATCCATGAGGAGCTAAAGAAATATTTCAATCTTTACTGCCCCCAACCCTAAAATATGTTTTTGCATATAAATATAATTTTATGATTTTTTGGGGAGCTAAGCCCTAAAAATATACAGTGATTTTTTTTCATAATAATAAAAGAAGAATATTAATAAAAAGTTGATATAATATAAAGTAAATAAAATAAATTTAGACAAAATGTATTAAATTTAGTAAATAATTGTTTTCTTACGCCAATCAATAGACGAGGATTTTCTCGGAACTTCTCATCCGCTTTGTCAGGCCCACCTAATTGAACTAACAGCGATCGAAACGCTTTATCTGTAGGTACAAAAATTGTAAATGGTCCTGTAAAAGAATTTTTATGGGTAATCCCAAGTTCAAATTTATATACAATTATAAAATATTTTATTTTTATACATTTAAAATTTTTTATTAATATTTATGAACTGTTTTATTTTTTTAATTAATTTCTTTTTTAAAAGTTTTTTAAATAAATAATTAGAAATTAATATTTAAGAGAGAGGTTTGAATAGATATAGGCATTATCCATATCTTAGAAGTAGAATTTTGCCATGCTTAAGACAAAAAAAGTCTATAGCTTCTCTTAATAAGTCTTAAAAAAAAATTACAGAAACTGTATAATTATGCTACACCCAGATGGCAAAATTTTAGATACGGCACTTTTCTATTTATTGGTTAATTTGAAATTGACTACATACCCATAGTATCATTGAGAATAGAATCCAGTCCAGATTTTTTTAAAAACTTAGCCATAGCATAGAATCCTTTGTTTTTTAGTACATTACTTAAAGTCGACGGATGGTGAGACGAGCTTAAAGGTAAATCGGTGTCGTGTAAATCATGTTGAAATGAATCCTCAATTTCTTCATTTTGTTTGAAAATATTAACATTGTCGTCAAGCACAAATGAAGGTTCTGAAGGAGTGTTAGATGATTGTTTAAATAGGTCTACAGAAGGAAATATATTTTCTTTGGTTTTGCTCAGGATAGGTTTACTCCAGGTTATTGGCGTTGACGCGGTACTGGTAGGATAAAGTGTACTTATTGGATTAATTGTTTTAACTGTAGTTATTGCGGTCGGCAAAAATATATCATTATTTTGGTATTGTTTAAAAGGATTAGTCGTTGAGGATTTAATAGGATCGAATTCTTCTGAATATTCATTACTATTATAGTCTGAAGGTTTTTTGTTTTTAATCGTACTTAAACGATTAGGTCCAACTTTTGAGGGTCCTTTGTAAACAGGTCGTAACTGTGCAAAATTATCTTGATCGTTAAATTTGTCTACTAAAAGGGGAGTTGGAACGGGCACTGTAGTTGAAGTTGGAGTACCTTTAGAAGTCGTTGTTGATGCTGGTTTCAGTAGTACTGATGATTTATTAGCCATTGTTTTCTTCGAATTTGAAATGCTGCTGGGTGGAAGTTTGAGTTCACCTCTATTTAATTTATCAATAATTGTATTTAGTTCAGATGAAGCTGATGAAGAAGCCGATGCAGAATTATCCCCTGAAATGTTACCCACATTTAAAATATCATTATTACTTCCTCCACTATTATCACGAACTCCTTGAACACGCACTGTTCCGTCTGGCCTTTCTTCTAGTATCACAAATGTCACCTTTTTATTTGACGGCGATGAGTTAGAATCAGCTGATGTTGAACCATAGGTCAATTTGTCTAATTGAACCTGTTCTAAAAGACCCATCTCAGGATCATGTCTTATAACTTGGTAATCTGCTCCCGGGGGAAGTACATTTTTTGTTAACTCATCGAGAACTACACTGGGTGGCTTAGCCGTAGTGGTAGTAGTAGTTGTAGTAGTGAGACTTTCTGACTTTGTATTTGGTTTTTGTCGAATCACAATTGTTTTTATGGCTGTATTGGATAGTATACGTTTATTATCTATTGTGCTAGAAATGCCTTTTATACCATTGCTTAATTCTGGTATGCTGGAAATATCAACTCCAGGAGGTAATTGTACCAATTCATTTTGACCTGACGAAGATCCTCCCAAAAAATCTGCTGGAAAACCAGGCAAAGATGATAAGTTAGCTGGGTTAAAATCTTCTGGTGCATTTAGTATGGTGAACTTGGTGTTTTGATTTTGATTTTTTAATAAGTTATTTATAGCAGAAGAAGACTTTGAATTTGGAGATATAATAGAAGGTTCGTTATATTGTAGTTGTTTTCTTATTTGCTGTTCTATTTCTGAGGTGTCGTCATTTTGTTCTCGTAGTGGCTCTGTATCAATAGCAACCGATGGTTTGAAAGATGGAAGTATTGTCGAAGGCGTTGATGTACTAACAACATATTTATTGTTAAGATCAAAATATTTTGGAGGTGACGATATAGTTGACTCTTGGAATGCGCCATTTTTAATCGTTTCTGACGATTTATCGGGTCTATAAAATAAGTTATCTTTTTCATCCGCTTGTGCATGTATGTAATGTCCCGCATGACTGTTAAAATCAGAAGGTGGTAATACTTGCTGAGACCTGTATGGTGAACCTAAAATATGTTGTTGAGAATATTGTTGCAATTGATATTTTTGATTATTAACACCTTCATTAGTTATACGTCTTCGATCTAAGTCTGTTAATGTCTGCGAAGGCTGAAATGGTGGATTAGAAGGTGGTGGAGGTGGAGATAATATATTGACATCATTATTTTTATTAATATGGTGATAATTATTATGGTTTTGTATTATTTCTTGGCCATGGTATCTATGTGAGTTATGGTGATGTACATTTCCACCACTGGTTTGTAAATAGGTCAAAGACCTTTGTTTCGGTTGACCGTTACTTGTATGTGAAGTGTCAGTTTCAAATTCTTTACTGTTGTCAATTACAGATTGACGGACATCCTCTAAAATGTGTTTTTGTTGATCAGGAGATAAAGAAGGACTTATTTTATCTTGCGAAAACAATTCAGGATTTAGTCCGATTTGCTGAATATGAGCATCCTATAAAATAAATTTATTAATTTTTAAGATTGCTATTAATAAATTATATTTTATAATTTCAAAAGTCTATTATTAATTTTATGATGTTTGATTGTAAAACTTGAAATATTTTTATTATATAATTAACAATTTATGTTTTAAATTGATAAGTTATAAAATATACCTACTTAAACGTTGTATTGGCGATTAGACTAAAAAAAAATTTTTAATCGTTCCTACTTGTTTCAAGAAAATTTTAAAAAAGGAATAATTAAATTAGTTAAACTCTATTTTTAGAAGTTTAGATAACTAATATTAAAACATTATTTACCTGAAAGGTTTACGGTGTTGCTTTAATTATTAACTTGGCGTATTTAAACACTGAACTAGTACAATATAACAGAAATATAAAACACCATAGATGAACTACTTGATGGCCAATAGGTACTTGTAGCATACTTCAAGAGAAAATAGTATGGCATACTGCGTCAACAATAGATATATAATGTATTTAGAAAACTAAACAAAAGTGTCAAATAGGTACCCAACAATAAATTAATAAACACAAATATATAACCTATATTTTTTGTGCCGTATAATATCGGAATTCTAATTTATTAGTTTATATGAACAAGTTTTTATTATAATTATAACTGAAAATCTGATACACAAATTGGTTTAACTGATGACTTCAACCACTGTATACAAGAATTAGAGGCATAATCGTATAAGTTATTAAAAAATAATCTAACCTTGAACATGTTATTTTACTGAGTCTTTTGATATGAATTATTTAATAGAGGTACAAAAACACAAAAAAATTACTTGTTGGAGATTTCTGAGTCACCATTAATCCTATTATCGTTTATTTAAAAACTAAAAACGTAATGGAATTTTCAAAAAAATTAACTTTAAAGAATTCGATTTAATCAAAAACGAACAAAACTGTTAGAAAAAATATTTGTATGCAATATTAGACAAAATTTCTTTATTTATATTAAAGAAATGGAAAAACAGTTCTAGATTATAAAGTGAGAAGTCTATAAAAATGATACGAAATCTATCCGATATTTTTTAATTCAAAATTAAAGTAAAAGTTAATGGATGCCTAAAATATGAACATGAGATAGCAGGTTAACTTCGAGTAAATATAGAAACAGTTTATTATAGGAATACCTAATGAAACTTCCATAGTAATTATTATTGTATATAAAGCTTAATAAACTCTGAATACAAAACAATTCATTTGAATATAGAATTCATAGATTTTTATTTAATAACTGTATATTCAAAACTCATTGTAAAATATTTATTTGATTTAGTTAAAACAAGAATCGAGTTAATAATAAATAAAAAATTCTAATGAGATTAAATAAGTAAGTTTAAAGATTAAATTTTTCTAAGCTTTAAGAAGTTATGTGCGTGTAATATTCAAATTTATCTAATTTGATATTCCTATAATATTCCCTTAAAACCAACATCAATTATAGATCCAAATAAAGATAATACATTTTATTTATAGTAATACCGAATATTATATAATCAACTATATTTTTCTTTTTATTACAGACAAAACATAGAGAAATTTATATGATTATTTTTTTGAAACAATCACTTAAATAAAAAGTTATTTCAGATCGATCAATCAAAAACGTGTATCGATTTCTGTTAGTTATTTGCATAGTCATCATTATCGGTCAATAATATTTAGTGCAACTTAACATTCATCCCGTTATCTCTGTCATTGTAAGATGTTTCACATTCTGCTCTATCTACCAAAGTATAAGACGCACGCACCACTATGTTGTTACACCTAAAATTGAAGTATTTATACGATGTGTTGAACATGGGAAATAGTTACAATATTGTTGTAATACGGTAGAGCATTTACGAACAATAGGATAAATATATACATCAACTATTCATCTTATTTTTCCTTGTATGTGTCACGGTGAACGCCAATGTATTGAGTACACTCTCCATTGAACTAAAATATACAAGACAAGAAAAGTGTAACACATTTGTACTATCCACTTTGTTTAAAGTATCCATCTAGCGAATCAACATTTAACTTATAACCTATGGTTTCTTTTTAGAATTATTGGATAGAAAATATAATAGCTCTCATACGGATGTAACGTTTAAAACAATAGTACATGCAAATAAGCACCGAGTCGTAAATGCTGCAATGTTTAATTGATAATTATTAACTACTGAATTTCCATAATAAATGTAAATAAATTAAGTGAATAATTAACCGTATATATTTAAGATGAGTCGTTATTATTTTCTCTCGAATTTCAATTCTATGGTAAGTTAATAGCCCATGCAATAACCGATAAAATAAGGTAAGCGTATGAAAATCTCAAGTCAAGTATAGTGTGCATTCATGAATAATAATTAGTCGTTACTGGAATATTAATAGGCTTATTTTCGCTTTGCGCGAAACAATAACCAAAACTCGGGGATTTTATTGTGTTGCTCTAATACTTTTGGACACGGTGTTACTTCTAATAATTTAAACTCCCGTGTACATAGTAGTCATGTGAGTATTTACAGACCGTTGTAAGGTGGAAAAGGAAAGTAAAATCGGCCAGAATCGTCTGAGATTCTCAATGTCAATGCTGCCGTTGCGATGACGGCGCAACAGTATTTAGCGGGAAAACGCTAACAAACAAAAAACCACTTTCTACAAGCAAAACGGCAATAACAGCGCTTATAATTTTATATACCGACAGTTCTCACGGAATTTTTAAATTGATGATTAGTTGTTGGTAAAGAAAAGGAAGTACTTTCATACGTTTAACGTGGTAGACAAATATGTCGTTTTACAATAATATTTGTATTCATTTTTCTAATGAAAATCATTAAATAGTCGTGCTATAGTGATATGTGGTTTAGAATATTGTCGTAATGTGATTGATGATACGTTACGTAGTTGCTTTTGGCACTTCGTGATGCGCTGAATTTAAATAGAAAGAACGCGCGTGCCCGTTTACTTATGTCACGAGGCAAATAAAGATGTTTTTTATGCATTTAAAAGTAACCGTCGAAAGATAATCATCCGCTTCGACCACCTTATACGTTCTCCCATATAGCTCAAGAATTGCCTTTCAATAATTATGGTTTATCAAAAACAACGACATGGATACCATTAAACATTCTCAATTATTGGATTGCCTGTATTCATTCGAGTAAATTTTATAACATTTTGCGATTAAAATATAGAAAACACGACACTTCTAAAGTATATTTTTAAGACAGTGCACAATAAATAATGTTTAGAATAACAAAACAATTTTAGCTTTATGTATAAGAGAAAAAAAAAACTGCCACAGTATCCGCAATAACATAGTATTATTAATAATAATATTTAAAGCGTATGGTAGTCATGTAGATAACTATAAACTCGGCCAATTATTATCTAATATAATGGTTTAGTTTTAAATAATCTTAAATATCATGCCAAAGGCCTAGTAAAATATCTCGTTCGATTCCAAAAAAGAAAACGATACAATAAAATGCAAATTAGAGAGTTTCTGAAGAAACTTAAACGCCATTAAGCTGATTACACGAAAACATATTCACAAAAATCACGTTTCGGGAATCATGTTTACAATGATATAAATAGATAAAATCTACTGTTCGTTACAATTCAATACGCAAACTACAAATGATTTAACAAGCTACACGGGTAATTGCTTCTCTCGTTATCCTATTGTTGTTCGGATGGCCTAGACAATTTAAAGATTACAGCCCGCAGAAAGTGTTCAGGTTACAATTGAATTTTGACTCATTGAGCTCATTAATTGTCCTTACAGAGTAATTTCTAGAGTTAACTTTACGTAACCAAGTAGATGATATGCGATAAAATATGCATTATGTACTGTTTACTACTCTATACGTAAAAATAGTAGAACAATAAGAAGCGAATGGCTTCGCACGCATATTAACTGTTGAGATTATCTGCACAATTTATTATAATGTATACTATATCACACCGGCGACTTAAAAAAAAGAAATTATATTATTGTGCGGAAGTCTAGAGAATGAATTGTGTTACCGTTCGTCATTATCATGGTGTGAGATGGATAATGAGAAAATACCGTAAAAAATGTTTGTGGATTTTAAATTCGAAATATTTTTTAATTTTCAGTTAACAAAATGCTTTCATTTTTCGTTATAATCAGATGTTGTATAGTTATAATTGTTAAAATATTTAAATTATGTATCTTGCATCAAGTATTTTGGTTGCATAATAAATAAGGTTGTAAATAATATTTGTTTGATCAAAGAGATAAATTTTATATAAATTATTTAATATTACAGTAAAAATATTTGTTTTGCACTATTTTCGTGTAATTTATAGACCTCGAAATAAAATGTGGGCTTGGTGTAAAAAGATGATATGCTTAAACGCTTTTTAACATATTTAAGATAAATTTTTAAAATAAATTACCAAATAATTAGCCGTCTTCCTGATTATGCGTTTAAAGCACATGACGAAAAGAGACAATATCAATAATTTTTACTATTACCATGATATAATACTTAAAAAGTGTTTGTGTTCAAAAAATATTTTTATTATTGGATCGGTAATGCTATAATTAATAATTTAAGCTTAAACCGAAGAAGATTTTTTCACTAAATAGATATTAATTTAGTTATATATTTAGTTATTATAGAGTTGGGAAAGAACTGTCCATGCACTCACACCTATTGGTCCATTGTGCGCATTAATTTAGTTTTATATGCAATGAATGTTTCTCAATTTTGTATGGATTATATTTAAGTATTTATACATGCACATAAATATTTATGTATTTTTGTCTTTAAATAAAATTTATTTATTATTATTTCTTGGAAATGTTATTCAGACGTTATACTAAAAATAAATAAATATTTCATTTAAATTTTGGTATTTTATATAATTTAATATGTTTTTCATTAATGGATCTACACCTATTTACACATAAAATTATTTATTCAAAATAGTGTATATATAACGAATTATAGAAAAAGAAAATTGTTAAGAATTAAATAGATACTAAACATTAATAATACGAATGGTTCATTCATCATTAATAATATGGTTAATTCCACTAAGTAATTTTTTAGTAAGCGCAGTTATTTATTCCTTTTCATTTTAACAAAACAATGAATAGAAACTTTATTTTGCCTTAATTTTATTTGTTAACAATTGTATGAATTTTCAAAATGTTCTCAAAAAAGTAACAACTAACGCTTTTATTCGGGAGTGTATTTTTAAGTTTATAAGTGAAAAATCAACTCTAGAAGCCAGATGTTTAAAAATTCTAAATGTAAAGTTGCAACTCGTATAAGTATCGGATGTTTGGGTCATAAAAAGAGATGATTGAAAAGAGAAGATATGACGATCGTCATAGTTAAACCTTAAATTATTTTACAAAGCGATAATGAAATATCTAATGTCTAGAAACTCATTAAAAAAAAAAAATCAATTTTAATATCATGTACTATTCTTAAGTACACTTGGTAATGTTAACACAATATTTTCTCATAAATTTACAAGTAGCCATTGAAAAAAATCTAAATTATTAACTTCATTAGAGTTAAGAATATAACCCTATTAAAATTGAAAGATGGATTAATGATTGCAAATCAAAGTTATAATGGTTTGATATATATTTTACGTTCGGGAGATAGTTTTGTAATTTTTTTGATTTTTTGCTTTTTTAAGTATAAGTTTATTATACTTTATTTAATGTGGTTGTAAAGTTTAATAAATTTGAACTTTAAGATAATATATGGTAAAAATATGTGTCAAATAACCATAAAACACGTGATGATGTAAATTCATATTTTTTTTATTGCTTGTTGAAATAGATTATTGAATACTAATTTTACAGTCCCTTTCTACTGGTTTACAATGAATATAAATGCATCTACATACATAGTTTAATATAAAAAGAACGAGATAGTTAAGAAATAACTATTAGAGAACGTATTACTTGCAATGAAGTTCTATTGAAGCAATGATGAGAGTTACCTAACTAAATAATTCAATTATGAACGTCTTGGCCCACATGATATTATTCCTCAATGTAAAAGTCAGCACAAAATTTCAATTCATTAATAATTCTATTAAATATTTAAGTACAGGTTACCATAATTAATAATTAAAATCATTAAGGAAAAACGGTTTTAATTGGCACGTGAGATTCTATAATTTTAAGACAATTATATATTTTGAGTTTACTTTTATATTAGCTGAACAATAATTATACAGCTATCTATTCAGTTAATTTATAGCAAAATTTATAACTATAAATTTCTTATATTACATAAAAAATAGAAGGCTTTGATTAATGATAACTTTATAGTAATTATTATTATTATTATTAAATAGGTAAAACATGTGATTAATTAAAACTAACAAATTTAAGTCGTATTATAATCTATGCTTGAAACTCATGTTATTTTGATAATTTTAAGAGTTTTTCGAAGTAATGATTTTTTTTTCATCATTCACTTAAAATAAATAACTTTGCATTTGCTATTTACTCTTGTTATACAATAGTAATAATAATGAGTTTAAGAAAAGTTACCTTAAACATCAAAGTTTAAATTATTACCTCTAAAAGAGATTACCTTCCTCTATCCTGAACAGATATAAGCTTTCTTTTTTAATTTATTTAGATTAAGGCGAAAGAAAATTGTTTTACTCTAAAGAAATGTATAATTATTCAAATACATGTGGATCTATTAGTTCTATAATAACTAGATGAGTGTTAATACAAACTCTATATAATAAATAACTCGTGTAAATTACTAAGCTGCTATGTACAGATTTGATATAGTTAGAATCTATATAATTATACTCTGTAAATTTAATGTAAAATATTTATAAAATAATTAATTTCAATACTTTATTAAATTTCAAAATAGAAATGAGAGAAATTTTCTTTGGATAAAATTGATTATTTTGTTTTATGAAATACTACGTTCTTTAGTCTAAAATTTTAAATGATCACTATAATATAACAAAGAATAATTGGACGTACAAATTTATTATGATTCTGTTGTTACAATGTTTTTCGCAGTTAAGACGCATCAAAAAATCTAAATGCGGATTAAATTGTTATTTAATTTTAAACAAATAATTGACAATAATCAATACAATAAGTTAATTTTTTTCTTATAAATTTTATTTAAGTTTCCAATAGCAATTTTTTTCTAACTTAGGCTTAAAGGCGAGATGTTTAAGATAATTCTAAACACGTGTTCGTGTTTCAATAAATACTAATAACCGGTCAACCAAAGTTCACTTCACCTTCACCTTTTAACAATAATTGAAAACAGATAAATGTATATAAGCAGCAAGAAAAAGTTAATTTGATAACCAGTCATTTATTTTTAGTTTGCAAACGCGAAAAATGAAAGTTTTTACTTTTACGCATTTGACGCGACAGACAAATCAAACATTGTAAATTATTTGGTTACATGAAATATCACAATCATGATAAATAGTTTCCGCTTCGTAAGTACTTGTATAATGTCGATTCCATTTTAAAACCAACATTAATTTGGAAGCAATCATTTAAGTTTGCTTGGTGATTTATCAATGGATAATAAATACATAATATTGTTTACTTTTTACGATACAATAAAATTAGAATCAACAAAAGAGCGAAACGAGAATAATTTTGTTTAGAATTATTATATATAATAGCACCTCGTAATGTAATATTTAATACTCGAAGCGTAAATCTGTTTATAGACCAATTTACACTACATTACCTTTATCATTTTTATTTTAGTATATTCATTGTCTATTCAATAATTTCTATTATTTGTTTATTACATACTATAGACATTTATTTGTTGTTAGTATAGACGCTAAATTTTGTTCATAATTTTATAGCGTATATCATTTGAAATTAAACAAAAGTAAAAGCGTGGTGCGTTTAGAATTTTTGTAATATATGTCTCCGAAATTAATTGTTTTATCTTAAATACTACCTCTAACAATATTATTAAAATTACATATATATTATAACTATGATATTAAATAACTAAATTATCTACTATCTAGTCACCTACATGACAAAAGACTACGATAAGTAATGTTTATCTTTTGGCAAAATTTACGTTGATTTAATAGTTCCTTTGGAATGATACATTATGATTATTTTTTTAGTTAATATTAATTATATTAAAAATATTTATTTCGACAGCCATACAAAAAAGAGAACGAATTTCAGAAAAGAGAATTTGAGAAAATCGAATCCACATTTAGATGTGATGACTTTTTTGCATATTTTTTTCTCTGGTTAACTGGTTTGATTGAACTAAGTTTATATTTGACCCGTTCCATCTTATAGATTACAAAAACTTAATTTACTTTATTGATATATAGTTAAATTATATTATCATAAAGTTATGTAAATATTTATAACACATTTTTAAGCCAGCTGTGACAGAGCTAATTCAAAATATTCCTATGTCAAGGTTGAAATTTTCTCAGTAAATTCGCATAGGTTTTTTGAAAGTCTAAATTTGTATAGTTTTATTTTTCTAATTTCATTTTTTCTCTAATAAATATATTGCTATATAAGATGTCTAATCAAATTTGTGTTTTTATTCTAACTTTTTCACTATTTTTTTTTTTTATGGAAATTATTCAAGATTTTTTTATAAATTGAAGGTTTCTGTGCAAAATAAAATGAATTCAATTTACAGGAAACCAAAATTTCTAGAATTTTTAAATGTATCCTTACCTACCAAAAAATTAAAAAAATGTTATATTTGTTATATAATTGGTCGTAACAAATTTTTCCTTAGATTGGTAAGTATTCTGATTTAAATCATGATTAAAAACCACCAACATCTAATACTATAAGAAATAGAGCCATTGTATTTCTACAGAGCCCGTTAGGTTTAATAAATTAATAATAGAATTCATTGAAACGATTAATAAAATAAATAAATTACAAAAAATTAATACAGTGATAAAAAATTATTTACAATTGTTATAAATACTTAAATGTATTACTTGGTAAGTGGATGATATAGAAGTGTCGGAATTATCAATCTGTTGATGATTTCTAATTGATTGCAATTTAGTTGTTATACCATAAGCTCCGCGAATATATGTTGTAAAAACTACCACCATAAAACATAAAGCCTTAAAGAACGACAATCGGCGATATCGCCTGAAAAAAACAGTCTTCATTTCGTTTACTATCTATTTTTAACTTCTATTTGATAATCGACCACAATAATAATTCACGTGAAGTAACTTTTATATCGGTTATAGAAAATAACGTGTACGTAGTTTATTTAATAAGTATATTTAACACTGTTATATTACAAAACCGGTGGCATCAAAAGAAGCGATAGAACTGTGGAAATAAGAAGGTGAAAAGTGACAAGAAATATAATATTTCTTGATACTGTTTCTCCTCCTTCTAACGTCCCTATCACTTTTTGACCAATTAAAAAACTANCCTCCTCCTATCACTTTTTGACCAATTAAAAAACTAAAGACATTGGTAGCAGTTTTCTTTTTTCTCCGCTACTTCTGCTTATTCAATGAAAGATTTGCAATAATGTTCCGCAAGTATAAAAACCATTATAGGACNTCTCCTCCTTCTAACGTCCCTATCACTTTTTGACCAATTAAAAAACTAAAGACATTGGTAGCCGTTTTCTTTTTTCTCCGCTACTTCTGCTTATTCAATGAAAGATTTGCAATAATGTTCCGCAAGTATAAAAACCATTATAGGACTTTGGAGTAGAACAAATTAAATCAGACTTTAATTTTATTTTTATAATTTTTGACCAAGTATGGACCGTTTCCAGACAATGAATGTAAAACTTCACCGAATATAAAAGAATATCGACTCAAAATTATTAAATATAAACCAATAAAATATACTTTGAGGGTTTAAATAATAATGAATATATTAAAAAATAACATAAAAATAAAGACATAATGTAAGATATTTTACGATTTGAATTGTCACAATCTGGGGGGAGAGGCGTTCTTAAGACATCTTCTCATGATTGTCCAATTTTTTTAGGGTTTTTGCCGCTCCTTTGCTTCAGTTATCAGATTAGTACAAAATTTGGTGAAAAACATTAAAATTTTTTTTTTATTATAATGTCTGTTTCTGTTTTATTATTACAAGGATAGAAATTTAAACTTTGTTTTTACTCTTTTGAAAAATGTACAGAAATGGACTACTACCATCTTTCCACTATATCCTTCATTTATTCAACATTAAAATAGTACTTAACATTTTATAAATGCTAACTTAAAATTAATTTTATCTGGATTTATAAAATAATAAATAAAAATAAAATATATTTTTTGTTTGGTTGTTAATGTTTTAACAGCCGCCAAGTATCATTATTTCGATTTCCACTTTTTTATTTCAATTTATGTTTAAAATATTAAACTAATAAACATATTTAGAAAGAAATTGAAAGTAGAGTATTCAAAAATTATTGATGCAACGAATTTAATTATGATTTAAATTCATTTTTAATTAAAATTTAATCATTTAAATATTTACAATTTATCATTTACAAACATTCTCAAAGACTGGTTTAATTATTTTAAATACGATATTTCATTTGAAATCTTATTTCTAATGAAAAATATATAGAAATGTCTTAAGTAATACATCTAACAGTTTTGTTTATTTTTCACTAGGCAAGTGTGTTATAGCCAAACTTTAGAGCGACAAATGTATCAATTAAAACAAGAAATTGCATCATTTACTGACCAAAAATAAAAATTAGTTATGTGGCTTTTAACACCTTGTGTATCTTTAGAAGCAATTGATCATGTGTTTAATAGCACTGATTGGTGAACTCGCAAACCAGAAGATATAGTCCTACAGTTCAGCGTTTCTTATTTCGATTGTAACTATGTGGTTGATACAACAATGTTCTCGAGCAGATACTAAACGAATTTTAAAAGGAAAACGCAATGGAACATTTTTAATTCGACTAAGAAGAACTAGTCAGTCAGCCCTTTCCATTGTTTGTAATGAAATGGTCAATCATTGTGTAGTTTAAAAAACACTTAAAGGATTGGGTTTTGCTGAGCCTTATAATATTTATTCTTCACTATTCACTGACATCCTTAAAAAAGCATAATGATTCTCTTAATTCTACATTAGCATGCCTAGTGTGTTAGCTGATACTGACAAAAAAAATCAAAAACTAAAAAGTTACTACCAAATGATAGATATCATATTTATGCTAATTCGATAAAAAAACTCGTGATATAATTTTCTTTTTATAAATATTAATTACTTATTAATGTTAAAGGGTTATGAAATAAGGAGTAATAGTAATATATTAGGAAGCATATATTTAGACATTATGATTGACAATAATAATTTTTAACTTGTTTATACCAAGAGTGATATTCTTGGTATATTACATAAAAATTAGAAAATAAAACATGAAAATAAATATTAATTGGAAATTCCTACTTATTTTCCTTTATTTAAAAATGTCTATAATTTAGTAAATGTATTTGTTTATGTTATGCTTAAAAACATTGTTCAAAGAAATGTGTTTCTTTAACAATGTAATTTTTGTAAAATTAATTTTGAATACTTAATTTTAATTGACTATTTTAGCTTTGATGCGAAGTTGAGAAGGTATTCATTTTACTATGATGTAATTTTTTTTTGTGTCTGAATGCTCAATCTCAGCTCTCGCTGGACCGATTTTGATGAACAATACGTCAAAAGATCACAAATCGTATTTAGTCAAAGACATTACCCTCAAATATTGAAAAAAATTCCCTCGTTCCACGTAAACGGGGGAAATACCCCAAAAATTACAAATTTAAAAGTCGCCATTTTTTTCAATTTCTTTTACTTAAAACTGCCATACATTTTTTAAAAATGACCAAATAAATATAATTTTTTTTTTATAGATACCTTAGGTATTTACCTATCATTTGATATATTTTTGTGAACATTTGACTCTTTCACAGCCTATAGGAAGGGTTTCAAAGTGGCAACATTTTCACAAAAAAATAACTTTCGAAAATGTTCCGGAAAGTGTGATACTTTTATATATACCTTAAATTAAAGCTTATGTAATATACTTTAATTTGAAAAAAAAAAATGTTTGCTTCTGGATTTGTCTTTATGGTGAAAATGGCAACCGTATTTAAAAATATGCTATTATTGTGTTAAAATGCTGGGTTTTGTATTTTATTTTATTTTAAAATACTTGACAAGAGGAGTACATAGATTTTCATAAATATTATATAAATCAAATTGATATAGCATAGAAAGTTAAATTTTTTTGTTTTTTTTTTTTAAGTCGAGAAAAATAACTTAGAAATATAAACTAGCTTAAATGCCATTTTTATCAAACTTCGTATGAGACGTACAGTTGCCGAGTCGGTAACACTTATGTGTTACGCGCTTGGGGTACAAAGTTTCAACCCGTGTGTGGCAAGGAATTTTTTGCATTTTTTTCTTAATTCTTTTTAAGTTAAAAAAAATTTTCAACTCCTTTGATTTTTATCTCCTTTATATTCAATAAAGATCAAGGATCCTATCACTGTAGTCGCCCCTCGCGTGAAGTAATTTCTTATTCATATTAAAATTATTTTACTGTATTTTAGGTTTTAGCTTCAATGCAAAGCTGAGAAGATATTTTTTGTGACTATCATTTATTTTCTCTGCTCTAACTTGACCTACTTTCTTCAACGATACGTCAAATTAATACAATTCATATCTAGTTGAAGATATTACCCTCAATAATTAAAAAATTAAAAAAAATTCAAATTTATTAAACAGTTACTTATCCCATGTTCTCCATACAGACAATTAAAATCATTAATTTCTAATGTTTTCAAAGTATTTATTGACGAATCAAGTTTGATATGATAGGTTTCAACCACTAAATTAAATCATTTTACTTTGTAATTTAATAATTTTTTATTATATTTTTTGAGCAGAAATCAAATAAAAGATGTAATTCATATCAAATTATACATTGATAAACAGATTTGTTTGTCTCTGGAAGTGTTACAAGGAGTATTGCTACTCCCCATTAACTTAACATAAATAATATTTAATATTAGATTATGTTTTAATAAAATAATATTTTACTATTCTAATTTGATGATTGACAAAAATGTTTCTTTTAATGTGTTTTTTAAATAGTCTTACATAAAAAATATCTAGTTTAATATTTCTATTTTAAGAAAAATAAAAACCTGAAAGTTTATTTTAATGATAAATTATATTCCTTATTATAATTTTGAATAAGTCATATAAATTTATAATATATACACAAAAAGAAAATAAATACAGTTTATTAAAAAAAACGTATATTTATATATTTATTTTTGTTAATAACATAAAGTTAGTAAAATTAATTTAACACATAGACTAAAAATAAATAAAATAAAAAAAGTCATTGGCAACAATAATATTATATAAAAATTCAATCAATTAGTTTAATTTATTATAAAAATTGGCACAAATCTTTGGCAACAGTTACTTATTTTATGTATATAGATTTATAACAAGTGTAATTAATTTTTGATAGCAAACCTATACAAGATTTGTTAATTTTGTTAGTTATGATAGTTCTTATCATTCTATCATAATTAAAAATAAAATTCTATGAAAATAATTTTAATTTTTTAATTACTAGTAAAAACAATCCATTCTAAGTTAAATAATTAGGATAATTGACTAAGGCAAGACATTTAAGATTATTATTTTTATGGTGTTAAAGTATTTAAAATTTTTTTTTAAATATTAAATGAAATATTTAAGATCTAAGTCAATGTTGAAATGTGCTATAAGTAGAAACACAATTTAAAATACTTGATCAACAGGATCCTTTTGATTTTTCAAAGTTGAATCTGTAGTGAAACATTGAGATTTTGAATCACTTAAATTCAAAATAAGCTCAAGCATACTCTTAAAGTGATTCTTATCATTTTCAGATTTTTCAAACATTTCCTGCCACTTTTGTTTATTTAGTTTTAAAAGTTCTATTTGTTTGGGTAATTCATCCAAAACATTCATATGCATTGCAAAATTTCCTTCTTCTTCTTTTTTATACTCATAAAGTTGTTTGGTGAGCATCAATATTTCATGTCTATGTTCTTCTTTAATTTGGTTCATTTCTTTTACATAAGCTATAGAATCATTGTTTATTTTTTCTTTTTCTTTTTCATACTGAAGTAAAATTAAATACAACTCTTTGTTTTCTCTCTCTCGCATACTTAATGCATTAAGAGTTTCATTTAATTCAGTTTCAAGTTCTGCCATTTTACTCTCTAAAGTTTTTCTTTGATCTTGATATGCATCTATCAGTTTAGATTTACATGTAATTACATCATTTAAATATGAAACACTATTTAAGGATTCTTCATTTTGACACTGTGTAGATTTCAATAATTCTGTTACACTTTTTAACTCTCCTTCATATTCTCTAGTTATAACATTCTTCATTTCTAAGTCTTTTTTAACAATTTGTAATTCATTCGTAAGTCTAGAGACTTCTGATTGGCTCTCTTCAATACTATCAAAGTTTGTTGAAATCTCTTTTACCATATCTTCTAATTTTTTTATTTTTGCCATTGTTTTTTCCACTAATGTACTAAGAATTTCATAATTCCTGCTGAAAATATCAAATTTATTTTGCATTTCAGCATCTAACATTATCTTGAGTTCTTTACAGTAGGTTTCTTTAAATTCTACTAATTCCTTTTCAGTAATGCGACAAGTTTCTAGCTGTTGCTTCATCTGCTCTAATTTAAATCTAGACTCCTCCAATTGTGTGTTCAGAAGAATATTTTCAGCTTTTTGTTGTTCTGCCATTTGATCTGAATAATAATGTATATCACTTAGTGATACAGCACACTTTTGATCATCCAAAGCAATATTTTGATTCAATAAAACATTATCACTAGAAAATTGTAATTGAATATTTTTAGTCTTCAAATTATTAACTTGGGAGACTAGTCGTTTAATTTTCTCCATATTTTTATCATTTATTTCTCTTAGGTAAGCATTAACAAGAACAAGTTTTTCCATATTCCTTTCACATGCACTATTTTGGAAAAGCATTTCTGAGTATTTTGTGAAAAATTGTAGAGCAGATTTGAGCCTTTTATATTCTTCTTTTGTTATCTAAAATTTAAACAATACACAAGTTAGAAGATAATTACTATAAATAATAATTTTTAAGAAACCAATGGTGTTAATTAAATAGAAATGTGTTTATTTTTATTTTATTACTAGAAGAGGATATAGTTGGAACATACCCAACTTTTTTCTAAAAATGACCAGACACTAAGGAATTTTGAGTATTTTCAATGTTAGCACAAAGAAAAATATAATTGTTAATCTACACTAATCTTAATTTAAATTAGATATAGGTAATTTCTTATTTTTTACGCTATGTTAGGAAAAATGTGTAAATTGAATAAATTTGAAAAAAATATTTTTCATTGTGTTTATTAAAATAAAAATAATAGTTTGAACTTTTTCATTTAAATTAAAATTTAAGTATTAGGACTTCTTAAACTAAACAATTTAGTTAGCAAGTACTACAATGTTTTCAGAAACATTCACAATTTCTTAATATATTTAATAGGTTTTATCATAAAAAATTTAAATAATCACCTTTATGGATACTCGATTACTATTACACTGTCTTCTAAGATATTCTGAAAAAGATTTTTATTTAATATTAGAACACAATTTTTTTTTATCCAATGCACTTTCAATTAACAAAAAAATTCAATAAAATTTAATATAATTAAATTTATTGAAAAGAAAATTAATTTATAATATTATTTTATTTGGTTTCTATATATAAATATATTTTTTATTGTGCTTTAAATTTAGTAAATATTTAATCGCTAAAAATAACCGATTTAATTAAAGTATACGTATTACTTTTTAATTATGTGTTGAATGTTTATCATTTAAATTATTGTATTATACCTTTATGGTGAATAATTTCCTCATTTTCTTTTAAATCATCTTCAGAAGAATCACTAATAGTGTTAGGAATGGTAGAGAGATCAGTCAATCCAATACGAGTAGATGACACATACTTATCAGGTTCTGACCAGTTATCAGATTCATTATCTTCATTCATATTTTCTTTTCTATTTTGGTTATTACTCAAAGTTAAATTATCAGAATTTTGGTTGTTTTTTTCTAATGAATCATTACCAAAGTGTTTATCAAAAATATTTGAAGTATGTTTAGTATTAATAATTAATTCTTCAGATGGTGAAATTTCATCACAACTAAAGAAATTTATTTCTGAATAATCTGGTAATACAGGAACATGAGTTATATTTGAATCACTCCCCTTAAATAATAATTCAGTCAATGATTTTGAAAATTCCTTATTACTTTTAATCATTCTGTCTAATTCATTTTTTAATTTTTTTGATTCTGAAAAATTTGTGCTTATTACATCTAAGAACACAGAGAGTTCATCAAGATGAGAAGCTAATGCAGAATACGATTTTGAAGTTTCTTTTTGTTTCCATTTCATTGCCTCTAATTCTTCCACAACTTGAATGTACCTATTTTTCAACTGTTCATAATTAACAGTTGAAGTAACACTATCATTTGTTTGGAGCATGGTTGATAAATTTCCTATTTTTTCAATAAGTTGATTAACTTCAGAATAAGATAATAACTGTTGACTAGTTTCATTTTCATTAGTTTGACTAGAATTATAAATTACTTTACAACCTTCATTAATAGGAGTGTTACTAGATTTGTTTAAAGAACAAAAAAATTGTTTTCTTTTTGCTTCTTTTAATATTAACTTAGAAATTTCTTTATTTTTTTCCCAAAGTTCTGTATTGACTAGTTCTTGAAGATTATGGTGAAGTTTTTTAACTTGTTGATTCAGATCTTCCACTTCTTTATTTTTTAAAACTAATTTTGATCTCAATGAAATAATTTCATCAGATTCTAGTAATTTTAAAGAATCCAGTTGAGACTGAAGTTGACAGATTTCAATGTGTTTTTTATTCAACTCACTTTTTAAGTCAGAAATTTCATTACAATATTTGTTAGGTTCCTTTATCAACTCCTTAATAAAAAAAATAATAATAATTATAATCAAAATACTTTCAAAGAAATTGTGAGAAATTTTACATAAAAAATTAATTTAAAGAAAATTTTCATGGAAATTAGATCTAAGTATTCTAAAGTAAGATTTATTAATTTTTATTAGGATTTTAAAAATAAATCATTTTAATATTTTGTTTTAAGACAAAGTAGTACTCAATTTTATCTTTCATAAATATTAAATTATATTATATAATAAAAGTAATAAGATAATAGATAATATTACATACAAACCTATTAAATGATAATGTATGTTTGCCAAAAACCTTGGTTTAACTTCTGTTTTAATCGTGATTTTATAATTTGAGTTATGTAATATATGAAAATTTAAAACTTATTTTGAATAATTAATAATTTATGTTATATTTAGAATAGTTTGAAAATATAATGTGTCAGCCAATGAAGACTAATCTTATATTAACAGCTCTAATATAAATTAAACTTCTTTAAGTGTAACCAAAACTTAAAAAAGAAGTTTAGTACAGAATAATAGTCAAAGACTCAAAGTGTTGTATAGATGAAATTTATAATTACACTACACACTTAAGATTGACATGTCAATACTATTTTATTCTGACTAGAAGCAAGTAAGCAAGTACTATATTATATTTAAACATTAAAAATGTAATTTTATGGTTATGTTATAATTTAAATAAGCTAAATAAATGATTTACAACTTAAGAAAAATTTTCAGAAAACATAATGAATAATACTATAATAGATAAAAAAAAAAGTTCAGATACCTCATTGTTTTTGGAGCTATTTCCAGTTATATCTTCTAATAATGGACTTTTCAAAGAATCCTTACAAGAATTGTTTGATGACTGCCCTGTTTCAAGCTGTTTTTTCAGTTGACAATTTATTTTCATTATTCTTTTGTTAACATTCAATAAATCTTGTATTGTTTTAAATGCTTTAATATTAATATTATTACATTTATGCTCTTTTGAGATTTGTTCTAAATTTTTTAAATCTTGATCATTGTCGGAATTGTATATGCTTAAATCAGGTTGGCTTTTTTTATCTTCAAAATTCTAAAATATCACAAAAACTTATTATCAACTGATAAAAAATATATGCCTTATGAGATTGATAAATATTTATTCTTAAAACTCAATTCTATAATACAAATATAAATTAAATATTTACTGACTTTTATAGGAAGGATTTCATTTTCAGTCAAGTGTTTTTCATTGTTGTATTTTTCTTCCATAATATATATTCTTAAACGTAAATTATAATTTTCAGTTCTCAATGTTTCTAATTGTTCCTCATATTCTTTTACAGAAACAGTTTGTCCATATTTATTAGCATTCATATTGTTAGTAGTTGAACCTATGAAAATAGTATATGTTAAAATATAATAAAAAATTGACTTCAAAAATAAATCCTAAAATAAGGCATGACATTTATTATAAAAAAATCAATTTTTTCAAAAATATAAAGTTATAATTTTATACAAGTAAGAATAAATTTAGAAATTATTAATAAGTGTTATTAATAGTGATGTAAAAACATAATAATATTCTTGAAACATTTATGAACTTAGAATATTTTGTTATGCAGATTTTAATAAAAATCAAGGACACAGAATATGATAAATTAATTTTAATTGGCATGTTTGTCCTCAAAGGGAATATAATTATATTTTTATCATAACTGTCTTTAAACATATAAAAGTACCTATATTTTAATTTTTTAATTATTAAAAACTAGGTAAAATAAGAAAAAAAATGTACTAAGATAACAATTTAATAAAATGTAATGGATATATTTTTAATAACTAAAAACATATATGAGGCTTCTACTTAAGATTATATTATTACATTATAAAATAAGAATAACCATTAAGATGAAACACATTTTTAATAATAATTTTTAATGAAAATATAAATTAAAATAAATATATATTTATATTTATAATATAATTATTAATATAATATAATATTTATAATAAATATATATTTTTTTTTGTTGAATTATTATTATAAAAAATTCAGTTTCATTAAATATTTATCAATTTTAAAAATTTTGACTTTTAAAGTTGTTCTAATTAATAAATTGAATACATAAAACCTAAAAATAAATAGTTATAAAAAATTATTATGCTAGTAAAAATCATCAAACAATTGAAGTATATAATTTTAATAATTTTATTTAATTAAAATTTAGTAGTCTTTTTCATTTAGTTAAGTATATATACTTTGAACTACATGAAAAAAATATCAGATTTATGTAAATATATTTATATAATTCATATACTTACAATTATATGGTAAATTAGATGAACAATTTAAGCTTGCGCCACCATCAAAACTTGAAGATTTCCTAAAATCGTTTACATTTGATTGTATTTATATAAGTTAAAATCAATTTAATGCACTCAAGTATTACAACTTGTTAAAAATACCTTTGTTTCAGTAACAAACTCTTATTATTTTTATTAGAATCCATTACAATTATTTATACATCAAATTCTACTACTAATGGAAAATATGTTCTTCTTATTTAAATTAGAAATTATTTTCTGTTCTTATTCTGATCTTTGAACAAACAAGTATTTACCTATATTTTGTCTATATTACTTTCATGTTAAATGTTATTGGAAGACTGGTACTCTGTAAGCATTTAATATTATTTTATTAATTTAAGAGTCAATTATAAATTTAAAAAAATGTTACTATGACAAAATTACCTTTACTTCCTGAAAAGAAAAAGAATAACATTTGACTAAGTTTGAACGATGAGCGTTGGTTTGCTGTTAGACTTGTTGTCTAACTAGCAGAAAGTTTTTTTTTATATCTGATACGACATTATTATTATTATTATTATTATTATTAGCAACTTGATAAAATCAAATCTGGGCACTGTTTATTTCATATGTATAACACATAACGCACTCTAGTGATTATTGTATGGTTTGTCAGTTTGTAATTGGAGAAATTTCCATTGATCAACAATAAATGGTACAAGCAATAAACACTTGGGTTATATTTTCATATAACCTGTGACATTGATTTTATATTTTATTGATAAAATTTATAGGCACGTCTATGGGGATGCCAAATGGTGATTAAATACTCCAAGATTTTAATTTTATATGCACTTATGTTACAATTGTTTCTAAATAAATTTGATTCGATAAAATGTTGTACTAAATTAAGAGGAATTTTTTGAAGAATAAGATTTGCATATTTAAATACCAATTAATAAATGATTCTATACTGATATATTATAGTTATATATGAACATTTATAAAAGAATAAAGAACTTAAAATATTTATCGCTAGTGAATATTTAAAAAGAAGCTTAAGCAAAAATCTTTCCAAACCTCATCTTGAAATTTTATTTATTTGAAACAGCATAACTAAACATTTAAGGTAGATGACATTAATGCTATTTTGTAAATATGTATTATCTTTTACAGTGTTAGTACAAAAGGGAAATGGGCGTTCTCATTATGGGGTATATGGGATAGAACCCCCCGTATCTTATAAACTACTTTTTATTATTTTTATAACCCTTTAAAAAAAAAATTTTAAAAATACTCTAAAATTGATGAATTCATATATACTGGGAGACATTCTTGACATCAAATTATAATCATTGTCGTATTTTACATACAAAGCAATTTGGGTTAGCTTTTCGTTGCCATAGCGCTACGAGAAAGTCACCCTGAGACTTTTGGGGCGTTTTTCCCTATGAGCCAGATCACACTCTAGTAAAAATGTATATAAATGTTATTTATAATTTTTTTTTTGCATTTATGTATATTCTAAATCTTTTAATAAACGAAATATCTTAGAGTCATTGGTAGTGGCGTAGCCACAAAAGGGTAAGGCTAAAAAGTTATTTTTTGTTTCACAAAAAATTTTAGGGATATCAAATATAAAATGCTCCGGAGCGCTGAAACCCTTAATACACTGATTATAATATACACTAATTATAATCATAAATAGTCATTATCTATTAAACTTTTATTCGCTTAAATCATGATTAAGTTAAAAAAAATGTATTTATATTTTGTTTTAGATTTTAAAACTAAAAACAATTATATTAAGAATTCTTAATATTATTGAATATAAAATATGTATTCTTTTCTTTTTGAAATGTCTAAGTATCGGCCTTGTATCTAGTGGCGCAATTTGTGTTATCTTCAATTAAAATTATTTTTTCTGCCATACAGTCTATATTCAATCTTCCACTTCACTAGCTCCCACTCAATGTAAACGCCATATTTAGTAATCTTTGAAATTTGTGTTCTTACTCCATTGTTTGTTTGTTACAGTACTTGTTACTTAAAATATACGAGAATACTTGTTTTTAAATTTTTGGAACACAGAAATAATTGTTAAAATTATATTTTGTATAATCATAGATATCATAATGCTAAATCGTATAAAAATATATGTATAGCAATACACTTATGAATATAATTTGTAATTTATTATTTTAATGTTATTAGTTAAATATATATTATTATAAATTACAAAAATATTAATAGTATATACATGTATATGTATGTTGCGTCTACCTACAAAAACTTTCAGTTTTTTCAGTTATACAATAATATTATTTTTAAATAATTATTAATTTTTGACTGATTTTCGTCTATTCTGTAGGACACAACAGAGTTTTCTTCAAAGTTCTAAGGGGTATAACTTTACCGCCTTTAATTTCTCATCTATTAAAAAATGTTCAATATTATAATTTTAAAGAATTTGTGTTAAAATGTTTCCTTTTTCAAATTTGATCAAAACATGTATATTATTAGGTTTTATGGTAAAACTAATGACGGAAATAATAAAAATCAAACTCACACATTTCATACAAAAATATTTTAAAATTAAAATTGTAGAATTTTGTTTAATGAGACCCTTTCTAAAAAAAGTTAAAAAATGTATTATGGATAAGTAAAACTTGAGATCATAGGAACAATTTCACCAAAATTTTTGGAGCGGCTTGTTATATCTAACTTAAATTTCTTTTAATATAATTGTATATGTAGTTTTTCTGAAATGTCGAATTAATTAAAATTAAAGCTCCTTTAATTCCTCATATTTGTGTCTATGTTTAGATCCCCGTACTTACACTTAAACTTTATTTGGTGGTTTAATGGTTTTTTCCCTATAATATTTTTAACCTTAGAATAAAATGTTTTATCTTGTTGCACCAAGGTTATGAGTCCTAGAAAATTTTTTTTGTTAAAAAACTAAATGATGACCAAAAAAAAAAATCTTACATTTTACATCGTATCTCATGAAAAAAATTAATAGATTTGTTTATAATAAAACCTATTGAACAATGTAAAAATGATACATTATTAATTTATTACCAGTGGCGTTATTATCAGAATTTTATAATAGAGGAGGGGGCATAGTAAAAATATCTAAAAAAATACCATATTTTGGAATTTTTTTTCACTCATTATTTCATTTTAGAAATGAATTTGCTGCCAATGGGGGTTGTGCCCCTAGCTAGGTCACTGTTTAATATGACCTATTTTTTATTTAAAAGTAATTTGTTGTATAGTTAAAGATGATACAATCTTTTATCTATTTTGCCATTATTCAATTATACATAAACTAGACAACAAAAAAAAGTTCGGGAAGTAAATAAAGTCAGTGGCACGTTTGTCCTTCGGTTTGCCATTTAAGGATAGCGTCTATCGCGACTAAATCTTAGTACCTACTGATTTATTTTCCTCTCTTATTTTTTTTCTTTCTAAATAATAGTTTATTATATTAAGTTAACGTATAAGTTGTAGTAACACGTTTGTCACAACCACACGCGATTGTATGTTCTACACAACATCCTCCAGTTCTCCCACACTGACCTGTAACGTTAACACACGATATCCCCGGCGATCGTTGAAATGCGGCCCACGTTCACAGGAGAACTATTTACTTAGATTAAAGTAATGTGCTCTTAGTCTCTTAGTTACTAGCTATCAGCAAGAGCTCGTTTTATTTGAAATTAATACTTTTAACCGTATTTTTTAATATATTACTTAAGTTTTTTATTATTATAACGAACCGAAATAATTATAAATATTTATACTTAAACATATTCTAGTGAGCTTCAACATTTTGATTAAACAGCCTACAGATCATCACTTCTTAGGTAATTATGTAGATTTACATTATTTGTGTAGATTTTTTTTCGATATCTAAACAACAAAATCAACTAAAAAATTTTGTTACTATATTTACTACGAACAAATTTCTTGAATTTTGAGTTTTTAAATGTTAGTAATAAATAGTTTTACTGAAGTATCACGCGTATTAGATCATTTTAATTGTGTCAATCCAAGAAAATCAAATATACAAGGGGTAATTAATTTTATAATAAATTTAAACACTTTAGAAATTCTTAATTCGACCAGATTCAAGTAGGTTTATTAGTGCATGTACAATGAAGATACTACAACAGGCAAGAGTAGCCTTAGGATATAAATTATTTTAACTGATGAGCAAGATTGTACTGAAGACATTAATTGTAATGTTAATGATTTAGACAAACGAGTAAAATATGTTAGATATTTGAACATAACGTACTACATAATTTACTTAAGACTTAAGACGCTTACCACAAATATTATAATATAAATTTAAACTGCTTCAACCTTTGACAAACGTCTTAAAATATTCATATAATTAATCAATAAATGTACCAGTTATTTCCTCAAGGTTAAATATTGATTTTTTGGGTTTTGTTATATTTATCATAGTAGCTTTTTCGTTAACATATTCATCAAAATATTTTATACATAATTTAAATATCTCAGTTATTTTCAAACTTTCTCAAATAAATTAACCATATAAAAAGGTTTCGCGTAAATTATTTTACAGATTTTTTTTTATACGCTTTATCAGCGCATTAAGGGCCATAACGGCCTACCCCAAACAAGGAGTTTTCTTAACCATTTATACTGCAGGGCGGGTGGTTAATCGGTCGCCGAAGAGAGGGATGGTGACTCCAATTACTAAACTGATCTCTCGTTTGGCAAATGAAATCACCCGTGACCAAGTTTCGAACCCGAGGCAGTGCGCGTCAAACACTCCTGCGTTACCGACTCGGCCATACCGTCCCTCTCTTTTTTAAATAATGACATTAACATACAACCAACTTATTTCATTTTTATTTGAGTAAAAAATTGTTATTTGTTAAATTTTTTTTTACCTTCTAACCAAAATTGTCTAATAAATACAATTGTTTATCGTCCGTATATTTATGTAAGATATGTTGATTTTAATAAGGTTTTTAGTCTCGACGCGAAGCTTAGACGGTATTGAAATTACCTGATGTAGTTTTTTTTTCTGATTGTCTATAAAAATTTTCAGCGCTTACTGGATCGATTTTGTTGATCAATACGTCAAAAGAAGTTGAATTTGATTTAATTGAAGACATTTATTTCAAAAATTGATAAAATCATTAAATTTTAGACATTTCAGAAATTATCTCAAAATTTAGCAGCCGTCGAAAATGGGAAGAATTAATTTTTTTCTTGCATTTTAAAATTGTAATAACTTATTTAAAAACAGCCGATTTTTGAGGGGATTAGGGAGATAGATCTTTTCATTGACATTTTTGATAATTTTCATTATATATATTTTATATTTCAGAAGCTTAATATATGATAATTTATTGAGCGTAATTAATGTGAAAAAATTATTAAATATTTGTTATGGGTTTAATTAAAAGAAATCTATTTATCAATATATAATAGTCCATAATAACATCTTGATATAGTAGTACAAGTAAAAAAACTCTGGGGTATGTGATTACAGCTTCCATGATCTTTTTTATCAAAAAAGTTTCACCTCCCTTCCATGGTAAAATCATTTGATTACCATTGATTTAGGGATATAAATACTGATATATATATATATATATATATATATTCATTTTTACTTATTATTTGCATAAGGGTTATAAAATATGCGTACATTATTGATAATTTTCTTTTAAGTTAACACTTTACAAAAGTATATTAAAGTGATAAATCATTCATAACGTTATTGCAAATAACCAATGTAAAACATGTTGTTGTGTTTATATTGAATTCTTAAACGCCTAGTAACACAAATTATTAAGCACATATACATATATCAATGTAGAGTACTAACCCGGTGCCTAATAGTTCGTTCGATTCCAATCGATTTGACAGACGTTCACTGTGAATTTCAATAAACGATTGTATACAAGTGTTTGTGATAAGGTTGAAACGCGAAATTTTTACATGGAAATAATTAATTAACAATGTAGTATTTTGTGAATTAGTGTCCCGCATTCAATTAATTAAAATAATGATCGTTTATAACTACGATGATTCCTCTGTGTAGGAAGATCAGTTACATTTATATCGGCATGAGTACCTTAACCCATAAAAAGAGTTGTAAGTATATTTTTAAATAAAAAAAGCTTAAGATTACTCGAATACATGTGATAAATATCGATTTTTGTAAATTTTATTTAAGACTTAATAATAAATTATAGAGCTCGTAACTTTTTTTGATATTTATACTTAATAGCAAAAATTAGCAAAATAATAATTATAAAATAAGTATTTAAACAATACTACACGGGGATTATGTAACTGTGACTCATGCAATATCTTTAAATATATAATTTTTCTTTTCAGAAGTTAATAGTATCCTATGTTTTAAAATTAAAAAAAAAGGTACTATCCAGTGTATATAGTCGCTTAGCGTGAATAAACAATGTGAAAAATATGTAAGAAATACTTCAAAACGTATTTTTTTTTGAATTTAGGATTATCAAAATATTTAATTTCCATTTATTACATTAGATATTATACTGAAATATTATGTGAGGATCTCGTACTTGCGAAAGAAATAACGTAGATTGTATCAAAATTATTTTTTCCTTGAGCCTTGCAAATCTTAAGAACAGCATTGCTTTTTAATAAATACTGATGTTTATCTAACAGTAATTTGTTTTATCAAACAAAAGTATTAAAATGAGAAAAGATAAAATACCGACAAAAATGTTGAATTAGTACTTTCAAAATTAAAATATTCTAAATGATAAAAGTCTGACTAAGATTTATAGTATGCATTTATGCATTTCAATAAGTTATTCTAAACACAACATCTACTAATACAAATTGATTTGAAAACTTAGTAATGTGTTTTTACCGTAGCTAAAATTTTCGATGGGGAAGATTAAGGGGTCTCTGCTCTCTCAAAACGAATAATATTTCTATGCTATTAAATAATCGCATAGCTTGTTGTTGAGTTGTACAAACTTAGGATCCTTCAAAGTGGCTCAAACAAAATTTATAAATGCATTTAATTCTTAGACCTAGATATAAACTACTTAACTAGTAAAAAGGTTTTTTATTATATTGATAAGTTTAAAGTTTAAAAAAGTTTTAAAAATTAAAATAAATTATTCTGAAAATCGATCGTCACTCTATCTTCATTTATATCTTTCTATATCCCACCAATAAAAAATTGATTAAGGGTCAAGAAATTAAAAGTTGGCTCTGAAAGGATTAAAGAAATAAGAATTATAATCTAAGTCTATATATTTTCAATTTTTGACATGGCGAGTTATAAAAAATGATCCAAAATAAAAAAATTGTGTATCCCTTAAGTGGATTAGCTTATCTTTGGAAGTGATTGCTTATAATTTATTTCCTTAAGTTATTGTATCTACCGTGACACATTTGTCGTATTTATTGAATATATGATGACTCATTATCATTGAGACTTACGTCATACTTCTAACCAAATTTGAATATTATCAACTAACAATATTAATGGAAATGTATTTTAATAATGGCTGTAACGACTATTAGTATAATTTTTTTAGTTAACATGCATGAAAATATCTACAGTAACTATCAATTTTATACTAAATAAATTAAGTATTGTAATATTTTAAATGATTTTTGTCTTAAGATTTGTCGTACATCATTAATATATATACAACTGTATTAATACTTGACTATATATATTTCAGTGCTTATTGTTTGGTTTATTAAGGTTAAAGTCTCATAGGTAGATTTAATTTTTTGGTTATAAATATCAACACAGCAAATGTCCAGTACACAATAAAATTACAAGATAAGGTATTAATATGTGTTGTGAATAAAATCACAAAAGTTTCAATAGAAATATTTGTTAGATCAGATTTGGTATCAACATAATACTGAAAAATATGAAGCCTTTAAGTTAAAAGATTCATTTTTATGCAAACACATTTATAATTTTAAAATTAATTCATATTTTATCATTTAAATTGATATTTTGGAAAATTATATCGACTACGCATTCAACCTAGACTATTTTTTTATTACTTACAATAAAAAAAGGTAAAATTAAATTTAATACCATTAAATACTTTTTATTAATTTAAAATTATTACTAATAAATATATTTTTTAATTGATATTATTGTTTTAATATTTTTTTTTGGTAGGGAAAGAGAGTAGTATAATAATAATAATTTATAAATTGCTTGTTTAATTTCTATTTGTTACATTATTTACTCATAAGTCATGAAAATTGACACCATTAAATAGTGTCAATTAAATAATAGAAAAAATTATCACAATAGAATGAGAACCAAAAAGCAAAAATAATAAAGGTGAATGATAGAGAAAAAAATTAGATGGGTACTTTATTATGTTATGCATATTGAAAAAATAGGTAGATATATTAAGTTTCTGAATATGGGTCATGGTTCGTTGAAATTAATTGCTATTAAAAAAAAATCAAACAAAAAAAATCTATCAATTAATAATAAGTTAGACATATTATTTCCTATGTTAGGTAGCATCTTTCAAAACAACTATACATTTAAGTTTTTTTACAATCAATTTTTTTAAATAATCAATATTATATAACAAAATTTCCACGGAAATATTATTTAGCTAACAATTTGTAAGCTTATATGTTTTTAATTATTGTTTTAGTGGCCTTTAAGCATAATGGCATTTGCAGCAGGTCAAAATTCCAGACTTCTGGATATGCAAGTAAGTGTAATTTTAAGTAAATGTAGTTTGTAAATTTTAATCGATAAAGTTATAACTATTTTTTTCTAACAAGAAATTTACTAAATGAATTCGTGTTTTTATAAAATATTATAAAGTTCTTCGGAATAAAAATAAAGTGATAAATTTAACTCCGTTTTCTCTAGTTTTAGGTTACATTGATAATGTACTTCTTTAAATATAATAATGATTTCTATTGACTTAGTTAATAGTTTTAAACACAGCCTTAAAGTTTTAAATTAAAAAAAAATAATAATACTTAAGTATACATATTCGTGCAATTATTAAAGATGACCAAGAGATCTACTTTAAAAAAAATGTGTAAAAAAGGGTCCTAACTGTAAATATCCCTATCAAATTAACCAAAATAATATAATAATTGACGCTAATTAAAATCACTTCCGTTAACAGATTCAATGCTGAGTATGCATAACGAATTAAAAAAAAATACTATTATGGTTTTTAAGCCCCATCTAGTACTTTGGATACTAATTGAATTTTCAAAACGACTAGAAATTATGTACATTTATAAATTATGTCAAGTTATTCTGATCACATTATCAGTCAGTACAATTTATTAGAAATTTACTTGAAAACTTAGTAATATGCTATTACAAAGGTTATAATTTTCGGGGGGATTAGGGGGTCTATCCTCCCCTAAAATAAAAAATATTTACACCATACTGTATAATTCTATGATAAAGTTGCACAAACTTAAACCCATCAAAGGGTCTTAAATAAAATGTTAATAAAAATTTTACAAGTAATCGAGTACAGTAACATACAAAAAAAAAATGCGACATAGTAAAATCAAATATTTTTCAGCAACGCATCGAAGCTATATATCGAAATTATAACTTATAATAATAGGTAATAAACTTATATTTCGTATTTATTTTCAGAGAAAATTCCAACAAAAACATTTAACAGAAAGCAAAAAAAATACAATACAGTCTCCGTCAATAAGTATAAAAGAGAAGATACAAATAAAAGTTCCTGAAAAACATGTGACTGTTTCACACGAAAATTTGAAGATAGACTTTAGTGTTAAAGGAAAGGTATTTGAACAATTATTTTAACTATTATATATAACATTTAAATATTTTTAGTTTTTATGTAGTTTAATTCACTCACTAATTTTTTAAAACCCTATTGTACTAAGTTTTATTTTTTAAATAATTTTTTATTCAATATCTTATAATGTTGTTTTAATACACGATTTGTATTACGTGGTTCTTTGTTTACTATACCAATTAATTGATTTATTATTTATAAGATTTATAAAAATGTTCATGTAAAATACAAATATTACTTATCATGAATTATTTTTATGAAATTAATTTCACATTAAAAACATTTTATGAGTACTATTAATTTATTTACTAAGAATAAAGTGGGCCATGCAACATTTTTTAAACTTTTTTTGAGATGTAAGATTTTAGAAAAAAAGTTTTAAAATGTTTTTCTTTTTGCATATTTATAATGCTAAAAATGAAGAATTTCTAAACAAACTATTAGTTTATTTCCTTATATTTTAAAATAACTTCGTAATATATTTTTGTACTACGTGATAAAATTTATGATGTTTAATTATTAAAGTGGGAGATTTAGGTGACACATAGAATTCTCTAAAGAAATCTTCCATTTTAACTACTGACATTGTGTTATGTGAAAGTCAGGTTAGGGAACTATTTGCACAGAGACGACAAGGTGTTAGAAGTCACACTGGAAAAGATAGAGGTTATCCTCTCAAACCTTTAGAAAAGAAAATTTACTTAGAAAGCGATGATCAATCTATCATTAGTCTTTTCGGAAAATTACCAAATTTAGGTGGTGGTTTATTATCTGAATCATTTGCTGCTAGCAGGAAAATGAAAACGGCTCAATCTGCACCTGAATTAAAATCATTATTATATACTTCAGAAAACAAAGACGATTCAAGCAATCTACAGGTTACTAAATTTCAAAAACTTAAAATAGACATACTAATGCACAGCTATATAATTGTATTTAGAACGAAATACATCACGTTATGTAATAAAATATTATGTAGTTGTAATATAGTTATTATAGAATTTCAATGTATGAGTTTTTTAAAAATATTTATCGTATTTAATTATGTACAATAAAAGATAGTTTGCTTTCTAAAATTATTAAATATACAAATAAATATGCTACCATGTATTTGTTTATCTACAATGCAAATTTAAAAATGGATAATAAATGCAAGTTTTGTTGAAGCATTAATAATAAAATATTTTGTTGTTTATATAAAATAGTTTCTGCTAATTGATGTTTTAATATAATGTAACTTATAATAAAATTTTATTATCATAATACATATTATATTTTAGGTAACTGCTATTAAAACAACATCTAAAATACTACCACCGACTATTAGAGGAGCTGAAAATAAACCTGTTCTAGGTGCTCAAAATGGAAAGAAAGACTGTGATATTTATACTAAATCGGTTGGCGAAAAAAAAATTGTAAATAAAAAATCACCTCCTCAAAAACTAACGGTTAAACCCACAGAGCAAACTAAACTGCCTTCACTCAATAACAATAAACGAAATATAAAAGTTTCTACGATAAAAACTGAAGTAAAATCACCACCGAAACCTCCACCTAGGGCTAATAAAGAGACACCTAAAATTATTACGTCTATTAAACCATTAGCGAACAGACCCATTGCACCTGGAATGGAAAGATGTCCCTATTGTTCCAGAGATTTTAATTCTGAGCGAATAGAGAAACATAAGACGGTTTGTTTACAAACGCAAAAAAAAAAAAGAAAAGTTTTTGATATGACTAAACAACGACTAGAAGGTACTGATGCTAAGGAATTCATAAACAGTGCAAAATCTAAGGTAAATTATTCTCTTAAAAATAAAAATCATTAGTATATCAAATAACGTTAAATTTATCTAGAAATTTTGGTACTTTTTATTGCTATTGATGTCTCTACATATGGTTTTATGAGGGTGGTGTGGCGTAATGAACCACTCAGTTGTCGCTTATGAACTGAAGTTCAGCTACGCTGTTGCTATTAGTTATCAGATGGGGGGGACCATACAGCATTTTAATAGTGACCCACACCATATCACCTACCCTTAGCGGATGGATAAAGAAGGGAGTGATTAAGTATTCATATTAAACACTCTTAATTACAAAAAAAATTTAAGTGTTGGTCAAAAAATTTTTGCAATTTTTTAAGTCAATACAATAAGTATATTAAAAGGAAGGTTGTCCTTTTCAAACAAATATTCTAGCTATTCAAGTTTAGTTATATGTATACAAAGGGATATTAATAAAAAATAAATTTAACTTAATTGCCTTTTTTTTTTTTTTTATAAATTTATACTTACAATTTTGATACAAATTTATATAGAGGTAATGAATTGTACAGCTATTCTTAATATAAACATTTTTCTTAATATAATTATTATTTTAAGAGAAATCGAGAGGCTAACATTAAAATACACTCTTTATACAACAACTTTATAACTTATTATAATTATCTGTAAAAATTACAATACAAAATTTTGAAAATCAATTTCATATTAAATTTATTTTTTATTATAATAGTGTGTATTTATTCTTGTATTATACTTATAAATCATAAAATTAGTATTCAGGATATAATTATGGATATAAAAGTTGTTTTTGTAATAATCCAACAATTCCTTCTGAAAATTAAATACAATCGATAAATTTGCGTTAAAACATTTTTTATAATAATGATTTTAGGTACTGTTAGATGTCATCTATGACGATACTACTCTATTGGGTTTTTAATGAATGTTTGTAATTTGGTTAAAACGATTTATTTGGATTTAATCAAAGATGTTTGTGTTTACTTCGAGTAAATCGATTTGGAATAAAATTAAATATTTACTTGTAAACTAAAAATTTAAACTTTCGATACTCAATAATTCTGAGTAAACATAAACCATAATCTTATATTGAAGAACTTAATGCAAGCATTAATATACATTACATATAGTTAAAATATAGGTTTATTTTCTTTCTTTTATTTATCATACTTAATGTAATATGAAACTTTAAATATATTTTGAAATAATTACAATTATCAAGCTCTGATAAAGAGGGCTATTATATGTGATATACAAAGATATACTATTCTATACATTTTTTTTTTATAGAAATTTTATAGGAACATGGGGAGCCTCAAGGTATTGCATTAGGGCTTATGAGAAATAAAATTCATATTGCTTAACTTCATTTAGCTAGTATAAAATATATTTTTTTTTACAACAGGCTTCTGTTCCAAAGAAAAAGAATAATTGGAGACAGAAACATGAAGAATTTGTCGCCAACATCAGAAATGCAAGGATGGCACAACAACATTTAGCTAAGGGTGGAAATTTGGCCGACCTACCTCCACCACCCCCTCTTGATACATCGGATTTAATTCCTTGTCCTCATTGTGGTCGCAAGTTCAATGATAACGCTGCTGCTCGACACATACCATTATGCTTAGAGCGACAAAAAAAAAAACCAATAGTAAAACAATCAGTGAAACGCTTTTGATTGCCATACACTTAAATAACTTGTACATAAAAAAATTATATATATTTTTACTTAAATTTATTTTTGAATTTTTTTAATATGTGTTTGATTTAAACAAAATCCTATGATAATTTTTATTTTTTTAATACTTCATTTTTGACTATCTATTAATAATAAAATTCTATATAATTTAATTTTGTGTGATGTAATTAGAAAATGTAACCATCTCATGTATAAATAAATAAATAAGTTTATACTTCATAACATTATTATTATTATTTATTTTCATTTTGATATCAAAATTGTGCTACAAAATTAACTTGGGTTATTTAAGAAAATAATAATTATTATTTTAAGAACATTTTAATTTTTATGCTTACAAATTGAATTTTTCAAATTTACTTTTAATTTGATTTTTTTATTGTATAAAATGTATTTTATTAGTAACTTTAAAGTAATCTCAAATATGAACAGATTTTTTAAAATGATAAATAATACATACTGATTTATCTATTGCTATAATTGATATAATTAGTTAAACCTTGTTTTTGGTGAATAGCTCATTTCTAATATTATCAATATTAAATGCATTGTTGTTCTTTTGGTACTATTAAAAATATTAATTCAAAGCAACATTACACTAAGTTATTTTACATAGAGTTATTAAAAAATTTGTAAAAAATCCGGTTTAAAATGTTTAAGCAGATTGTAATTTATGCAATTTTTGATGTTTTAAATCAGTTTTAAAAACACTTTGTTAAAAACGTAAAAATTATAATTTTACATCGATTTCTCTTTGTCGTCATTGTTAAATATTTAACTTGATAATATTCATAACTATTTTCTTTTAGGTGTTAAAATTGCAATTTTTTACAATTACCTATTTTATTTTAACTATTATTATTATGAAAGCAAATTTATTAATTTAATTAATTTACATTTGACGGAGAGTATATAAGTAGGAGGATATTTTTATAAAAAGTACAATTAGATAAACACCAAGGATAATAATTAGCTTCAACTAGTAACATTTTGTTTGTTTAATACTTTAGGCCAGCGACGGCGCTAGATATGTGAGCCCAATGCAAAACAATTTTCGTGAGGTCCTTTTTATATCATTTTAGTAAAGAAGACCACTTTTATTTATACATATTATGCCTTTTAAAGAGGTTCTAGAAAAGTACATTGGTGGCTTTGCCCTTTCAGACCTTTAGTCTGAAAGGTCTCAACATTGACTGGTATGTTACATACATCTAGGCACTTGATTCAATTTTACATTCAGAAATTTATGTTATGTGGTCTAACTTAGTGTATTATGAAAAAAATTTATTTTAGTATTTTCAAGTTCTACTATTGATATTTTTACAATAGAAGAACAAAATAAATGCAAAGAACTGAATTTAAATATTATATTAACAGTAAATTATTAGTATTAAATATAACAATTTACTGAAGTAATAATTAATAAAAATAATATTTTTTTATATTAGCTTTTGAAAAAATCAAGTATAGTTATCTCGTTAATATAAGGAATAACCTGATGTGATTACATTAGCATACTGATGTAATATCTCTGTAACCTCTGAATAATTAAGGGAAAAAATTCATTCTTAGAGAAAACATTCAAAAAGATCAATCTTTCCACAACTAGAATTTTTTTATTTTTAATCGAAAATTTTGCAATAAGATAAATTTCTTAAAGGATATACAGTATCAATTGACTTTTATTCAAATTATGAATCAGTTGGTGATAATTGAACGAAATAAAAAATAATTATATATAAGATACTCTGTTGTAAATCTATACAGTTTCTAGGATATTAGCAGAAATAATTAAAAAAATTGCTTTTTACTTTTGTTTATATGCACTTGAAAATCTCCCCATTTTAAACGAGTTATCTTTTAACTCCTTAAATAAAATGAAAATGATTTGAAAAAATAATTTAGAAAATGTACAATAGATTATATTGTTTTATTTAGGTTTCTTATTTGAAATATAGGATTAAAGTAACTAATAAAAGCTAATTAATATACTTAATTATAAGAGTTCTGAAGTAAGCATGGAATTCCAGCTTTCTAAAAATTTCTAACCAATTTAAAAAAAAGATTTTAAAAACAATTCTATGAATAAAAAAAAAATATATTTCTATGAAATTTTTTCATTGAATTATTTATCTTTGAGTGGAAGTTTAAAACAGAGCAATTATAAAATTACACGTATAAAAATTAATGAGAATTTAATAGAATCGTATCGAAGAGTCTTATATGATAGTTTTGTAAATCACTGTTATAGATTTTATACTTTTCTTAATTGTACTAGGTTTCTAAATTTCTATTCATTGATATATTAATCAGTAATTTAATTACCCCTATTAATATTTTATAATAGTTGATTTTTGGAGCACAGGCAGAAATAATGTATTCAAATTATTGGTTGTCCCTAAGTTTATAGTAATACATTCTTTCTAACAGAGTAAAATCCTGTGATTGTTTTGGCAATGATTGTCTAATTAATGAATTTATAAGTGTATTATTAATAACTCAGATCAGCATTCTAAATAATTTTTATTTAGAAGAATTAATATTTGTTCGCGCGTCTATAAGTTTGTCGTATTTTTATTTAGTTTAATTTATTTGTTGATTATATGCTTTATCCATTTGTATGTAAGTTCAGTGTACGTTCATCGCCGCATTATCAACGAGGCTCGTTATGTCTTAAACATTTCTATATATATATATATATAAATTACATTCAGCTTACACGTTTATAAACCACTATCTTTTTTATATTATTTATTGGAACTATGTTCTGAATTCCAAATAATTGCATTTGTCATTTAAATCTTAATTAAAAATCGTCAAAATATAAAATTGAAAAAAATATAAATAGAATTACATTGTTTTTGTACAAGATTTTTAATATCAAAGCTTTATTTTCCAGATGAAGCTTGTTCTCAAAAATTGTTATTCTCCTATAAAATCGAATCAGGTAACTGTACACTTAAATTAAAATTTTAATACATATTTTGGATTATAACTTTCAATTAAGATTAGTAGGCTTCTCATATAACAGTTAAGCTGTCAATGATAAAGGCCTAAAAAATATTGTAGATAAATAATTTTAATTGATACCATGATACACATTAAAGGAAGTTTTGAACTTTGTGTTTTGGAACACAAAACTAACTTAGTTTTTTTACATAATTGTATTTAAACAGAATATTGCAAAACTCAAATTGTGTGTGAATTATTAAGATATCTATTTTTTATTAAGTTAAATGAATTAACGAAGGTTAAATTATGTTAGCATAATGTATCTTGAGTTTTTTTAAGTTCATTATAAGAAAAAAGCAATATAATTATTAGTACCTATTTATCATACAAAATTTACTTTTCAACACATTTGGGGATAAGCTGATCTGTTGGTTAAATAGTTGTTGAATAGTGGAGACGGGGCTAGATGTCACAATGTTAATTAATCCCATTCTAGAAATTAACGATTGTCATATCATACCAAATGTTGTCACAACAGCTCTAATTATTTTAGTATAGCAGAGAGCAAATTAAAGCCGTTAATAAAATGCATATATAAAAAACAAAATTTTGTTTTGTTAAGTAAATTTTTGTACAAATTCAATTAAATTTTGTTAGGTATTACTAATGAGAAATTAATGTTTTAACAAATAAGATACTATATAGCATTTTTTATGAAATATTAAGTTTATAAGATATTAAATATTATGTTAAGTAAAAGTTTTATTTTGTTTAGTATACATACTAAACAAAATAAACTTCATAATGTTTAAAACAGTTATTTTTTAAATGTGTTAAAAAAAATAAAATAGAAAAATTTTGACAACTAGTCTCGGTCTCCTTATTTACTTGGTATCAATTTAAAAAAAATACTATTTGATTTTAATTAAAATGTAAAATCATAAAAGTTTTAAAAGTATCATAAAAGTAAAAGAATTATCTGTGTGTTTTAAGAATAATACGTTAAATTTTTTTTTTTGAGTCCAAACCTTAAATTTCATAAATTTTAAAACAATTTTCACTATTTTAAACATCTATAAATTTTAGGTTAAAATATTGTCATAATCTACAAAAAACCGTAGATCTGATTTTGGTATAACGGAGAAGACGTTCATAAAAAAAATCGGTTAAGTTTTTCATATGAAAAACGCATAACCTAAGTGATCAATGTTTATACAAATTCGATTTTGAAATTAAAATATAAAATAATCATTGATTTAGCAGATCTAAATTAGTAATTCATTGTAAAAAAGTAGTCTTGATTTTTATACATAATTTCTAATAAAATTTAACCAATGACGCAAATAGGTAAAAAGTCTTTCGGTTTTATATCAAAGTTTTTTGAGTTATTAAAATTTTTCTGTATTTCAAAAGATTAATTTTTCCATATTTGCGCAACTGATTATAACAACTTTACATTATTTATAAATTACTAATGTATCGCTAAAATTTTTTTAAACAGTTCAAAAATTAACGTTTCATTCAAATAATTATAGTAGCATTCACAAA